TTCAACGAACGCTGCATGGATAAATGGTTCCAATTAACATCTTTCATGGCTTATTATGAATGACAAGTCATAATGCATCAACTACAAAATATATACCTGAAGTTCCAGATTTCGCTATTGTCCCCAAATTCTTTACTAAATCTTCCTTTGTCATACCTATACCTCTGTCCCGAATGGAAAGGATTTTCTTTTCCTTGTCTAACTTTATCTGCATTTCATCAATCATAACGCTTTTAGGCCCAAAAAAAAAAGCACACAGTATGCTGACTAAAACATTTGAATGCCACGATCAACAATCCATTGTAAAAAATATATATATTTTCCATCATTATATAGCTAAAAGTGTAAACTATAATTCCAATTTCTGTGATCAGATGTTCCTTTCTTAACAGAGTCATTCAGCATAACTAACCTGAATTTCTAGCTTGGCATTATCACCTTCGCCCAAAATCTCTTTATCGGTGAGGGAGAGGAACCTAATCTTGTCCAACGCCTAGCATAGGGAAAGTAAATTTCATTAACATTGAGCAATAAAATAATTAACACAAGGTTTTTACTTTCTACCAAGGAAACAAAAAGGAAACCAGCTTACATCAGAAGCATTGGAGATCAGCTCCCTGAGGAAAATGTCCTTGTTGCTGTATAGGGAGTTGATAATAATATCCATGAGCCGAGACACTTCGGCCTGGAACTCAAACTTCTCGGCGTCGCTTCGCAGCGATCTCTTGGATATCGACTCCGCCTCCCTTCAATCACATTCCAACAAATTTCAGAAACAAATAAACAAAACATGAGTAGCTTATTACTCGCAACAGGCTCAGTCCGTTCAGAAACCTCTTGGCCACATCTGAGTCGGTGGAAAGACCATTTGGAACAGCACCAATCTTCTCCTCAACCTTCGGGGGATCTACAAGCTCTTCCGAATTACCATCGGCATTTGCCTGAAACTTCCGACCTATCCAACCACAGATGAATAATTAAACTACAGTTTCAAGCTTGAAGAAGATCAGATATAGGTCTGTGATAAGAAATGAAGTAGCTTGTAAAAGCAATGCACAATTCGTTTGTTTTTTTGGCCAAAAAAAAAAAACAACGCACAACTCGCAATAGAAGGGGAAAAACAATAGGCATCGGAGTAATGTAAGCGTGGCGCACCTTGATCTGCAAACAGAAAGAGGAAACAGAGTAGAAGGAGAGCGGAAGGAACAGTCCACTTCCTCATGGCAGAGAAACGAAGCTTCTAGTATCTTTCTCCACTGAACTGAAAAATGATCCGTTTCGATCCACAGCTGATTTATACATATAAGCATGCATCCATATATATATAACACACTTAACCATAGGAAATGCTTGGGACCGTGATTGCCACGGGAACTTCCGTCTGAGGATGTATGGGGTTCCGATTGGTTGAATTTTGCCAGCATGGATGATCGAACGGATACGATTGCCTTGTGAAGACGTGGCCTTATTTTATTGGTTTGTTCTGTTTCATTTTACGTGGCAAAGACTTGGAGCTCGGTATTGTAGACGGTCCCACCAGACGACCCAGCTAATTTTGACAGGTAAACGGCCTGGCCCACCGAGCTAGGCTTGTTTTCCTTGCTCTGCTTAAAACCAAAGTCTTCGCTTAAAACAGAACGTGGCACATTATTATTGGTCTCACATTCTCTTTTTGACGTGTAAAAACCATGCCAAGTCTTCGGGCCCGAATAGCACGAACCCCATGGAAAACTAAGAGTACTTTTGGAAAAATTAGGACAAGTGAAAAAAAAATAAAGTATTTTCAAAAATTGTAAAAATTTAAAACCAGAAATGAGTATAAAAATATGTTATCATTTATTTTCTAAATGTCATGAGTTGTCATTAAAATTTAGTACACAAGACTTATTTAAAATTTTGAAATTTAAAAGTATTTTTTGGGATTTTCTAGAAAAAAATTCACATTCGTTGGCCAAAAAATTTCAATATTTACATGTTAATATTTTGATATTTAATATTTTTGAATAATTAGAATTGTAAAAATATTTTATAATAAATACCATTTTCTCTATATTTTATATCCTAATTTTACAAAATGTTTTTCCCTCTGTGGACCTCAGTAACTATAAAAACTTGAAATTTTGATATATTTTTCACCCAGTTATTAGGAAAATATTTAAATGGTAAAATAGAATTCAAAGCCATGATTTTATTTTTGAGGTATGTTATTTTTTGTGTGCTTCAAACACCGTAATCTTAGTGTTGTAAGTAACTTAAAAATAATATTATAATGTTCTGTGTAAAAAAAAAATAATATCATGTGCTAAATGCTCCTTTAGTCAAGGTTTAAATTGCATCTTGGAGTCTGGCATTGCCTCAACTCGAATTTCGCTATGTAAATTCTCATTTCATGCAATTTTTCAGTTAAATCCTTTTAACCTCGAAAATATTTCTTCTTCAAAAATATTTCTTCATATTTAAGTTTGATCTTTTTTTTAATTGAATATGCCATTCTATCCAAATTCCTAGCACCCTTTTTTTTTTCTTGTTAAATTAAAGATGACTTATTTTCTGAAAGAAAAAAATAAGAATTTTTATGATATCGGTTGGACCTTTTGAAAATAATTGGAATCTAAAAAAAATATTTTTATTATCTTAAGAAGTTATTAGATAGATGGGATGGAAAAGAAAGAATATTCATGAAAATACAAAATTTCGCATATATATCATGAAATTTGAAAATCACTGGATAATAAATATTCTTATGATTGTGACGCGATTTTTTTTTTTTTAACACGTTACTCGTTTCGTTTCTTGAACGAACGGCTCTTTATTCATTCATTTACATGTAAGAATGGGGGTGAAATTTTATTTCAACAATATATGTGCGAGGATGTTCATATTAATATTTAGGTTACAGTGAAGGGTGATTCTATCGGCATGAGCACGATTTACACCTTGCACTGGAATTAGATTGCCATCAAGATAAAACATATCAATGGATCAGAATTATGTAATATTATCAGGTAATAAAACATGTCCCAGTGAACCCTGAAAAGTCTGCAAAACGCTGCTTCTGTTAAACTTTTTGATAGACAGTTTTCTAGACTGTTTCATTGCTATTTGAACAGTGGGGGTGTCAAAAAATGAAAAAAAACAAAAAACAAAAAGGGTAGATGGCGATTTTAACGCTGTAAGTATATTGACATCGTGGCTGTGGGGGGCAAAGAAAGGAGACTGGTGCCATTAGATTCAAGGATGGGCTTTTGGCAGGAAATGACAAGAGCATTTTGTTTTTTGGACCAAGAAAATGATAAGAGCATACATGAATAGATGTTAAAACAATCCAATAACTACGCCCAGGCTAAATATTTCCATGTGTATTTTTTTTATGTGTAATATTACTAAATAATGTGTGATAAAAGATTAAAGATCTTTATAAACTTCCACCTCGCTTCTTTTTCAGATAAATAACCTATAATTTTTTTTTTAAAAAAAATCTTTCAAGTGATATAATGCCTGTTTGGTGGGGCATTTAAGGAGTCAAAAATTAGTTTGTAAATTTGATAAGTCAGTTTATAAATTTAAAACTTGTTTACAATAGTTCTTGGCTAATGACTCATCGGTCAAAAACTACTTTTTTAAGTACGGTTATAAAAACATTTAAAACTTACATATAACTTATGCAAAAACAATTTTTTAGAATTAGAAGATATTTTTGTCCTTATATTTATATTGTTTTTATGCTTCCATCTGCATATTCTTTATACTTCTCAATCAGTTTATTTATTTATTTATTTTTAATATTCTCTTAAGTAGAAATATTTTTTAACATAATTTTTAATATTATATTTCATTTTATATTTACATAAATTGTGCAGATAATCCAATTATTTATGTAATATTATTTGGTTGAAAAAATTTCTCATTACTATAATTTTTAATTTAAATATATTTTATTCATTAAATATAACTTCTTCCTATTATAATGATTTAAAATTATTATATTTTATAAAAAAATTTATTATTTAATAAAAGTCATACTCATTTTTATCATTTTATAAACTAAACTTACTTATCCAACTATAATCCAAATAATTTTTTTATTTTACAAACTAGTTTAACTTTTATTAAATCTAGCTTTTTTAAAAATTAAATTAAAAATAAATTTTACCCTGTCAGATTTATTTGCCTTTTGCCGTCTCCAATAAGCCAATGAATTTCCGGAAACAAACGCGACACAAGGAGGCGGGAAAAGTGGACAGGGTTGAAGACTTGCAAGGCATTGCTGCAGGCTCAGCTTCCAACTTGGGGGCAGGAGTCGCTTTTCAGACCGACCTGCCTTTGCTCTCCGCTTCCCTTTGGCTCCCTCCAAACTGCCTGACCTCTGCCCCATCATCCAGTTCTTGAATTTTCTTTCGGGACAAAAAGAAACTATCTTGGCATTCGGGGAAAACTAAGCAGAGGCGTCCGGCATTATAATTGTGTTCAATTATAAGTATTCACTCTGTAACCATGATATATTATACAGAGACAATCTAAACCAATTTAGAAGTTGATGAAGGCTATAACGACTGATTTGATCATTATGATTAATGTCGCATGATTATGGAAATCAGAAAAGTATGGTAGATGGCAAAGGAGGCTCCCGTGATGTGCAGGTGAAAATTGAATGAGTAGTCCAGAAGCTTCGGTCGAAGCAAGCTGAACGTTCCCCAACCTAAACCTTAGGTTTGAAAGAAGTGTGATACAAGATTTGAATCTTGTCCGGCCCCTTTGCTCTGTCCTAAAGAGGTATCCTTGCCTCGTAATCCAAAATGAGTAGAAGGCCCCTGTGTCCGTCGCCATGCCCGCATCAGGAATGGAGAGCCATTAATCAATGTCCCGCCATTTTTATCCTCAATCATACCAGCCGGCGGCCCCCGGTTTACGCTCTCATTTTTAAATTTTAAAGGACAGAATGAATGCTTTTAGGTTTAGTAATAAATAGGAACAGGTATTGCCCGAGTGAGGATGCGCCACGTAGTAAAGGCGCCAGATCCGAAAGCATTGGGAGACACGTGTAATCTATCGGGATGAGATGGCAAAATCAGGGGGTGCTGGGAAGCACAAGTGATTGCTCTCCCTCGCTTTCCCCAATTTCCAATCCAAGGCAAGGAGGATCATGGAGATAAGCTCGGCGGGCAGAAGCGGATGAGAGAGAAACCCACTTTCGTCAATTCGAGAAATTGGGGCTCCCACGTAATCATAATTAAAGCCATGAACATTCCCAACACCGCGCATTAAAGCGACCGCTATATTCATTCTCAGATCCTTCGCACCTCCCCCTACTTTGTACGGCTCTCCCCGGTCTTCTCCTTTCTTTATGGCTGTATCCGACACGGTCGTCGGGAACCTGACGACGATCTACGTGGCGGTGATCGCCGGCATCAAAGCCTACGGGCTCGTGTGCGGGCGGAGCTTCAGCGGTGGGTTTGTTGTGATCGCTTCGAGCACCGTGGTGGGCCTCGTGCTGGTGGCAACGCTGACGTGGGACGTATCCCGTAAGGTCACGTACGCCTTCACGCGCTGTCACGGCGGTCATCATCATTCTCACAGTCACGCCCATGAGATGTGCAAGGGCGGCATCTGTTGGCACGGCGTGGCAGTGCGATCCACCGCCTCTCAGGTCCGCTTCAGACTTCCCCGTCAGATTCCCTACGCGACTCTGTAAAACAAGTTCATAATTAGGTAGGTACAAGAACAATAACATGGTTTTTGGTTTCTTCCCTCATGTAAAAAGCATATGTATAATTTTGTCTTGAATTGCGGATGCTGTTGTAAAGGGTAATCATCCAGTGAAAGGGGCTCGAGATGTATATGGTGGTTTTGATTCGAGGGTTCAGAGCTTAAATTAGATTATTGTAATATATGTATTGATAATGGAAACCGGAATGTTAAATTATGTGCATAGACATTATGAGCAGAGGGTCAACGAGAAAAGTGCATTATTTTGACGAGGGAGGCTTTTTACTGTGCGATGTGGAGGTTATAATATGGTGAAGCTGGGAAGGTTAGTTGTGCTTGTGGGTTGAAATGGTAGACATGGAAGTGTAGCTAAGTCTTGTAGGTTTTGGGATTATTAATAATTGGGGTTATTTCCTTCAGTAATTTGGAAGTCCACAGGGCACGGCATTTGCTTTGCCGAAACAGAGAGTGAGACACCCACCCAGGACAGGATGTTATTCATAGTCCGATTTGGTTTTCAGCTCCGCAACCCTAATTTTCAGATCTCACCAGCGCTGTATTTTTCATGGGAAAGAGTTTTCATTACCTTCTCGGCGGAGCACATCATCAATCTTCGAAGGAGAATTTAAATTTTAAAACCATAAACAAATTAATTATTCAGAAAAAGAACTGTAAAGGATGATCATCAATTTTCTTCTCATCAAAACAGGTTGGGCGATCTAGAAGAACATTGTGAGGAGCATCAGATCACATTCATGTATATTTAATTTTGTCGTTTTAAATTATTAATTTCATTGACCTACCTATATATTCAAAATAGAAGTTTCTCTCAACTGAATTTATTTTCTATGCGTTTTTATTGCAGTTTTAAACTATTCAGATTAGATTTTAATGTTGCCACTTGATTGATTTTCTTAAAAAGTTATTAAATTTAAATAATCTAATTCAATGTAATAATTTAAAATTACAACGGTGCCATTTCATGTGTGCATCATCTCATAATATGTAGAAAAAGTTCAATTGTCAGCTAAATTTGTTCCCCGCATCTTATTTTCATAAAGTTTTTCTTCTGCCAATTTAGTTGTTTATCATCGTCATATACTATCTCTCGAATTTCACGCTCTTGCTGCCTTTCGGCGACGGCGAGCTTATGCCTCCGGTGGTCGTAGTTAACAGAGTCATTTTCATATAACGTGAATAACAACCAGCCTGCTATCTACACATGAATGGTTTTTAGGGCCACCCTCTTGTAAATTTATAAATAGTCTTGATCACACACACACACATATATGATTTAATGTTTTCCTGCTGTTTCTGAAAATCCATTTACAGTTGGCATGTTTATAAATTTGTGAAATTATTTATCCATTTAAAATTGACTCTATATATTCGTAAGTGTCTATTCTTAAATTTACAGCTGATTACCTTTTTTTTTCTTAAATTCATGAGAGTGACCTTCCATGAGTTATTTTCTACGGTTAGAGAGATAAGAACAAGTTTATAAAGTCATTTATTTTTTTAATTGCAAATGGAGACCCATGATCCATCCATAGCATTCCAATAATTAAAAAAATCGTCAATTGACATTAATACCTTCACAAGTTCTACAATTGTCATTTTTCCGACATTCAATTCATAATCCTTTACTAGTTATTTTTTGTTGTATTCATACTAAATATTTTTTCCTTTCGTTTTTTTTTCCCTATGTTTTTCCCATAATGTTACCTCAGATCCTTAATATAAGAGTTATTTTAACTTTTAATTTGAGTCTAAATATAAGACCTCAATCTACTTTGCCTATTATATTTAACTATTTTTTTTCTAAAATAATTCTTGTAATAATTGAACATGTCAAAGATTTTATCAAACAGTAGTTATAACTAATACACATGATTAGTAAGGGTATTTTAGAGAAGACAATATCTATTTATTACAAATAATTAACTTAACAAATTTTATTAATTTACTTAAATTAATCAACTAGCTCTTATATCAATGATAAAAGATAATACATATGTTTTCATAAATTACTAAAAATTTAAAATACAAGCTACTGTTTATAAGTAAAGAATAGTGCAATTAGATGTATATACTAGCAACAATTTGCTTTCATTTCATCCCGACTCAATAAGGGTTTCAAGATCATTGAATGACCAGGTGTCTAAATTAACTTTTTGAAAATAATTCACAGTATTTAAATATATGAAAAAAAATTTGTCTCAATTTATATCGGGTTCGAACCCAAAACTGAATGTGCATTTCAGACTCAGCCTTTGGTCACACAAGCAGCACAAAAGGACGAGATTGACCATGATATAACGAGAGACGAACATCCCACGCTAGCTTCTATCAAAATCCAAAAGCAAACACACAGTCAATGTAACTTTCCCTGCACACTTCGAACATATCAGCTTAATCTGGCAAGGCGTGGGGCTGGGGAAGTCAAGAAAAAGTCAACAAGCGTTGAGGTGACAATTTGCAAATTAGGTGAAGGAACAGGAGTTTGAGGGTGTGTTTGGATAGAAACTAAACCATGGTTTTATAAGTGTTTTTACGATTTACGAAATAAATATATGGAGGAGTCTGTCTCATTTTATGAAAAAGTACTTCTGAAACCATGATTTAGAGATTGCCAAACACCCCCTCAATAGTCACATCCAAACGGGACTATAATAATATCCGGCAGCAATGTCAATGGCCATTAAAGATTGTCCAAAGAGCTAAGAGGCTGAGCTGATCAAATTTTGCAGTTCCTAACACCATGACTGAAAAGGCTTCTGCAACGGCTGGGTCGGCAGACATGGAAAGCCTCACTATAATCATCTAAAATGTGTAAGAAAGGCGGGAAAAAAACTGACATCGCCCTTTGCCATCAAACTGATGAATCAGATGACATTCAGTTATGGTCCGGCTTTTATTGAATTCAGTGTACTCGTAGTTAATGATGACCTACTTTTGACTGTTGAGGATCATATTAGCTCATGCATGATTAATTGAAAGGCTGCATATACTTACGAACAGACAAGAAGAGAGAGAAGCATAAATTAGAATCTACATCCATGGATGTTGCGGATGTGTCCAATCCAACGTCTGGTTCTTTTCTTTTTACACGAACTCCCCAGCTCGAGAGTTGTGAAATGGACATTCTCTGCCCATCTTATTATTTTAATTGTCATTGGAATTTTCTTTTCCCGAGTTTCAGTATTTAAATGAAAAAACACAGCAACAGAGAGAGACCACATCAGTGGTGCGGAAGATAGCTTCCGTAGCATTGTTAGCCGTGTGATGTGGGCTAGGAAGTCTGCATCATTGAACACTTCACTAGCTCGAAACCCGGGTTGAAGTTAGGTGTTCGAACCTGATATGAAAAAAGATATTTATTATCATTAATAAATAAAAAAACGTAATTAAGACAAAATCAAAATATTTTTTTATAAAAAATTAATTTATTTTAATCAAACATTATACAATGAAATATTAATCTATTTATATGAACTAAATAAGTTATGAATATGATTACTCATTAGACTTTATGCAAAGCTCATTTAAATTCCCACAACATATCCCTTTTTAAACACTAATGTTCGAAAGTAATCTAACCTCAAAACAACTAAAATGTAAGAAGTGTTTGGATGAAATTAAACTATAACTTTAAAAATATTTTTACAGTTTACAAAATAAATATATAAAAAAACATGTCTTATTTTGCAAAAAAATACTTTTTAAAACTACTTTTAATGATTGCCAAACACCCATTTATCTAACCTCAAAAATATTTTTGAAAAGTATTTTTTCATAAATTAAAACAAATTCCTTTACATATTTACTTCGCATATTGTAAAAATATTTTTAAAACTATGATTTTATATCAACCCAAACACCCCTGCAGTGGAATTCATCATGCGGTGTGCAATTAGAAATGAGAGACACGTGAGGCGTTGGATTTGGGAGCTGCCTGGGAATTATCGCGAGTGCATAAATTATGGGGCGAAATTGGCACGGGAAAAGGGTTGCGGGAAGAATCGGAATTACTTTGACTCCAAGCAGGGAATAACGTGTTGTGGTGAAAAAGATGGCAAGAGAAAAAAGTTATGGCGAAAATAAGATAACATCACAGCCCTCCTATTTATTTTCTTGAACCAAGAGAACCCTCCTCTCAAATTTCCAAATACGTCCCTGTTGACGGAGAATCTTTAATGCAACGTGTTCACGTGATTAATGAATACTGTGGACCAATATCCTCATTTTACTTCTAACCCCAGAAAAATCCCCCTTTTACTTTTCTTGAAAAAAAAGGAAAGGAAAAAAGGCTTCAAGCCCATAGGAAATTCTGTCCCTATACTCGCGAAACAAATGTGGGAATAAAACCAATAAATCATAACCAACGGTTTACATGTATGTCTTCCGCTAAGCCTGTGGCAGAGTACACAAAACATCAGTGAATATGTAAAGTATGGAGCTCAGACTGCACATTAGCCAAAAACAAAAGTTTAGACTTTAGGCAAGATCAAGGTCAACTAGAGATGAAGATTGCTCTTAAGCATTCGGATAAGAGAGATGCTGCCATCTGTTCGTTTTACATCATCTACAGCTGACTTCCGCGTGCCTTTTCTACCCTGCAAATCAGTTGAAATGTCAATACATATCAAAATGTGTTGTACTATTATTCACAACCCACTTATTCTCTTATTTTTAGAGAGAAACTTTAGTTACTCTCCAGAAACCTCAACTTTCCAATGAATGTGCCCTAGCCAGAAACCAGAAGCCCCTGCAGCGTGCGTGAGCCGAAGATCACCATTAATTATATTACCTTCGATGCCGTTGTCTCGTCTACAAGATCGACGTTACTCAAATCCCTTAATAACACGGACGTGGAAGGCATAAGTCTCCTGCATCATTATGATTATAAACTGTTATGAAAAGGGATAACATAACATTATAATCTGAAAACAATACAAATACACTCGAATATTCTATCATAAATTACATCACGGACCTCTTTGGCTTCTGAGGGTTGCAGGAGTTATTGAACCTTCTCTCGGAATGTCCACTACCCAACTGGTCACATCCTTTAGTAGACGAGACAGCTTTAGGTGACGAAGGTTCCAGCGTTTCATCAGTAGGCAGTGGTGAGTTGTTAAACTCCTGAAAAGCTGATTGAGCATGAGGAAGGGAAGAGGAAGGCAGAAATTGATTTTGTGTAAAAGCTTTTAACAGAGGGTATATATATGAGGATATTTTAACTCTTGGGCCAACAGTTCTCGCGATAAAACGTTGAAAGAGATACAGTATTGTCCTGTTATTCTGTGGTGTAAATTTTCATGACATTCTACTCAATGAAGGCAAATTCAAAACCACAACACAATTCCCGGTATTAACAAAACCACCTTTTCAATATTGATACACTTGTTCAATGTTGATGGCCTAAGAATGAACTCACAGTCAGTGTCTTCCTCTCTACCGCCAAAGCATTAAGCTTCCCCGGTTTTGATGAGTCGGCCGAACCTTTCCTAATAATTAAAGCGAGAAGGAAGTAAGAAATGACACTTCGGAATAAACAAACCGCCTACTTAAGGAAGGGCTAGAAAGACTGGTAGGAACCGCGGGTAAAAGGTTGCTTGTCACAACACTGACCTATTTGATTTTTCGACGTCCAACGGTGTGCATGAAGTACCAGGTAGAGACTCACCATACGAATGATCAAGTCTAGGCTCAGATGATGCTTCTGCATCAAATGTTTCCTGGATAGAATAGATAGAAATATCATGCACAGTTCTTAGTCTGAATCTCACAAATATAAATGTCCCATTCGAACTTGATAATATGATGAGTATAGTGTTCATTTACCCGAAAGCTTTCAGCATAATTACATTTCCATTCTAACCTCTAAATCTCTAATACACACACACACACACACACACAAAAGTCTGGGGGCTAGATGAAGTAGGCTAATATCTTGCCTGACAATTCAGAAGGATTAATTTATCATCAGATTGGTCAGAAGGATCTCTGTAATCAGGTTGATAACCAGCATTGTCATATGCTTTGGCAGATGAGACATTCATGGGTGATGAAGGGCCCAACTTTTCAACGTTGGGCAATGATAAAGAATCGTTGAACTCCTGCAAAGTTGATTACAGAAAAAGGTTTTATAAGAGCTTGTCAAAGAAAGGATATCGATATATTTAAGGATATATTTAATGTCACATTCCTCGCAGACAATCACTCATATGAAAACATTGAAAGGATTAGAGGATAAAATTAATTCATCACCTTGAATGATTCCTACATAAACTCAATTTCAATCTAATACATATCCATCATTGAAGGCTTTTTAAGTCATGTAAACTCACTTTGTGAAAAAAAATTCAAATAAGCAACATGAATACACATACAAATTGATGGCAATAAATCAACTCACAGTTACTATATCCCTTTCCCCCTCAACCTCCAAAGCATTATGATAACTTGGTCTTGATGAGCAGACCTCAACTTCCCTAATAATTACAGCAAGCGCAAAGTCAGGAGTGATGCTCTAGAATAAATGAACCAGAATGCTTCAAGGACAAAGAAAGATAGGCAGTGAAGATTATTTGTCAAATGACTAACCTGTCTGGTTTTTCAGCATTCAAAAGCGTGCAGGAAGTACCAAGTGTAGGCACAGATGATGCCTGAGCATCAAGTGTCTCCTAGAAGAAACAGGTATAAATAGCATATGCAATATTCTCATAATCTGAAGCTCACAAAAAACTAACATAAAAATAATACTGATGAGTAAAGCTTTCTCAAAATCACTATCTACTCAAAAACTTGAAATGATTACACATGCATGGTGAACTCATCACTTATGTTTTAGCCTGTTAGTATGTCACATCGATGGTGAAAGCTCATACAGAGCTTTCAGTAGAAAGGGCATCTGGTGTGCTTCTAGTCTGACCAGATTCTTAGAGCTACTAGCGTGCTGAGTTTCTATGCAGAATAAGAGCACCTATATATTTAGAGAAAAGGAACCAAATGATTAACATGTAACACAAACAAATCTTGAGATATATAACATAACTAGCTGTATCTGCATGACAACCATATGCTTGTTGTATCTTGGGCTGTAGTATTTCCGTAATTAGTAGTTTATCGACCTATAGATGCAAGGTTTCATGCTGATGAGAACTCACAGCCTACATTTGCCACAAAGGGTTTTCTCTTTCTCTCTCCCATTAGTTAACTTCTACCAAAAGAGAGGGTTGGAAAAAAGAAGGGGGATGGGAGTCATGATGCACCAGAGCATATATGGCTGAACTAGTTCTTGCTTCCAAATGAATAGAGGAGTTAACCATCAATTGAACTGAGATACGTAGCTGTCCAACTTCCATAAGGATTAAGTCTAGACATAAACTGAAAATCTTTTAGTGATAATTGGAACCCACAACCACAAAATCTCCATACCTGATTATAAATATTGCATCCTTTGCTCCCTCTGCGGCAAGTACAGAAGGCCTTGAACTCATTCATCTCTGTTTCCAGCTCTTGATATTTTTCCTTTTCATGCCCAACACTTGCTCTGAGACTTAGTATTTCCATTTCTGCAACCTGATTATAAATATTGGTACGAAGTATACCTTCATAGTCAGCTTGAGCGCAAAACTTGCAGTGAAAGCACTTCTTAATAACATGACGGGAAAGATTAAAACTCGGGTTTAACAGCTAGTTATAATAAGTGTTATTTTAAATAATTTTTACCTTTAGCTTGGCATTATATTGCTTCAAAATATTCCATAAAGCTTTAGCAAAATTCTGCATAATAATGTGGCTTCTATCACTCTGAGCCTGGCTATCACACTCTGACTTTGAGGGACAACAATTAGCTTCTGATTTGCAAACTCTTGGAGCATCTGTAACAACAAAAAAATTACGGCAAGAAAGTTTAAATGCGAGAGAAGATATCAACAGCCAAGTATCAGAATTGATAAATTCAGCTCAATTTGGAAAGTCTCACAACCTCCCTTCGAAACGTGCAATTCTTTGACATTGCGCTCCTCTTCATGCTGGAAGTAAACAAAAAATTGTTCAAACTTCAAAGTTTAATATAAGTAGAAAAATTTCAATCAAGTTCTTGAAGTTATGAACAACACTTCCTGGCAAGTCAAACATAAAAAATTATTCTCAAACAAATAGCTAACAAAGAAAGAATGAACATGTTGAACATATATCAAATTCCAAGTAATTTAATATAATTGCAGACATGAACTCTTGGAGTGAAGCGAGTTTCATGTATCATATGTTCATATCATTGATCCACTTTCTTCTATATCTAGAGTTCATATAAAATAGCTTATTTTACACACAGAATTTCTGTTTTGCCTTCTGTATTCGTGGACACTGTGTGCTTTAAGTGGGATCTAGAAGTTCTCCACATACTGCAGAGATGAACTAAGCAGTCAAATTTTGTTATATCTATCTACGTGCTATTCAGATGATTATACTTGGAAATATCTATTATAAAATTGTAAGAAAATTTCTTAAATATTTAATGATTATCTAATAAACCTCTCCTAATCTTATTTTAAAACGAAATACATTGGGGGGGGGGTTGGCAGGGACAAGCTAGGAAAGTCAACAAAGAACACGCACACTATCTTCACTGCTGATAAGTCTCATTCGCTTTGCTTGCCCTAAAGTAGATGATGGTTTTGCTTGCTCAACTGTAGATGATACTTGGTACTGCCTTTTGCCAGGAACAATATTTGATTGTTCAATTTCATTATACCTGACAAGCATATACATTCTTATATAAATTGGGGTAGATATGAAATGCGATTGAAACCAAGAGATGAAAATAGTGTCACTTGATTTTCATGAAAGGGGAAGCTTGTCTTAGTAGGTAAGATGTGTCAAGATAATCTTCTTCTCCTGGCTTTGCTGTTAAAAGCTGAGAGGAAAAGGTTACCCAGATTAGTGGACTTTGGAGAGATATTGAATCCCAATTTCATGAGAAAGACTCGCAATTTTCAAAACACAATTAAATTATCTGGAGGAAAATAAATACAAAGCAGAATCTGCATACCAGGGCCATGCGCTTCTTGCCTTCCAAATAATCTCGAAGGAACCTAGTTAACTGTAATAGAAACGGTGATATTTGTATCTCTTCAGTCTTCATTATTTTAGTTATTGTCTTAAAAAATATTACTAATCAGGGATCGGCTGAGAGCGTCAGCGTATATTTTGGGGATATGACATACAGTATCAAGGAAGAGATTATAGCAACAAGAGCTATTGAAATTCATCAAAGGCCAGCAACGCGTCAAATAATTATCTGAAAAACTTACCAATGAGTTTTGGAAGTGCTTTTGCAGTGGCTTCTTAGGATTTTTTTGGTGCTCCAGTAAGGACTGGAAGTAAAATACAATCAACATAACCATACACAAAAGTAGCGGATAGGTGAAAAATAAAAAGGAAAGAAAACCTGTGTGCATGATACATACTCTTAAGCACAAGCCAAACACCATTAAAGTGTTGTTGATGAAATTGCTTTCAAGCAATCTTGTCCCCTACAGCATAAGAAAACTTGAGCTGAAGGTAATAGGGAAATATCTATTCCATAATGTTGTGAAATGTAGTCAATCTGGCTTACGAGATTTCAAATAATAATTACAAGTCACAACAAGATCATCAGAAATTCTACATTTGCTAACTCTCTGACATTTTTGAAAGGTTTCTTTAAAACCAGATGTTGAATTTGAGGTGAAGGCTCATGTTTTTACACTATCTACAACTTGATGGTATCATGGTTACTTTATGAATAATTTCATAAATTAAAGTTGTAAACTACTAACATCAACATTATCATGGTGGCCAGATTTGCTTATGCACGTAAACATGTTTGCTACGTTTTACAGGCCACAAAATGTACGTCCTTGTTTTTAGCAAAAACCGCAAAAGCGACATATGGTTTGACTTTCGAGACTAGCCATGCAGCTTCTATCCTAAAGTTGCCAAACTGCAGAGTATTCAAAATCAACCCCTATATTTCACGACAAGACGACTATATAAAGACCTGATTCCCTGTTTTCTTTTCTCTTTCTGCTCCAGCAAGGTCAATAATAGTCAAAACAGCACTATTTGATGGCGTGCTGACCGCCCCTTCACACTTTTGGCAAAAGTTAATTATGCATTGTGATCGGCTGCAACAAGAAGACAAAATCAAAACCCAACAAGAATAAAACATCGTATGAATAAACTCATAAACTGCTACCAACGTTCAGAATCCAATTAGAAAAAATAATAATCTGTTCTATAAGATCACTGAACTAAGAACCACTTCATCCAAGCTTGTTGCAGGTAAATCATGAGCTCATACAAGTCATAGTTAATAGTAAACTAACTACAGAAGATCAGCCACAGGACGATAGAATGCATTGAAGAGTATCCCTAGTTATATCGTTATAAGAAAGAACTCGCTAACTTTTCCCTGTATCAAAGTGCTTTAAGCTTGCCGCTGAGAACTAACCACCCAACAGTAAAGGAACTTCTTAAATTTCTGTTTGCATTTTACCTTGATTGACTGTTAGTGTTTGTCATTGCAGTGGCACGTTTTAGCACTGCTTGTGCTATTAAGGATTCTGCCTGTCCGGCACTAGAGATGAGAACCTGTTCAGAGAAATCCGAGAACAAGTGATCATTATCTATCATCTTATACACATGTACTGACATTACATTAGGCAGATGTAGCCAAAACCTCTTGCAGGCCTTTTACAGTTGATTGTTGCATGCTTAGCTCACAACCATCTCGCAATAAATCAAACAGCTTCTCTGCTTTACCTCGTTCAGAATAAATCTCAAATATTGATATGTAAAAGGACCTGCCACTGGCACCAAAGGACTAATTTAACATTTCATTCAATTAACCAGGGAAATGTTGGATTGACCAAGAAAAACAATAGAAAAGTTTGAGACCAGGTGATAGTTTTCTCCTGAGCTAGTTAATGTATAATCTTGTTTGTGTTCATAATGAGAACAACTAAACTAATATTGACTTCCCTGAGAATCGTGACTTCTCGGTGCCTGGCTGCTTTCAATTGAAAACGAAACCACTTGTGTATATAAATGAGGATCCATATCAAATAAGGATATTGATATGTTACACCAATTACAAAAAGACAGTTCCTCATCCAAATTTTAAGTTGAATCATCCTCATGTTTTCGAGTATGACGCTTAGTGACCAAACAACGAGATTGAATAGCAATAACGTAATTTTAGCATACATCCCAGAGAAGCCCCAAATGCATAAAAGGATCACAGAATACCTCAATGCCTGATTGGCCCTCGTCTCAGTCTCCTTGAAAATGTGTTGAAGGGCAAGAGGTACCATTCCAGGCTCCCTTGGACACCCAAAAACAGTATGAGATTTGCCTGAGCCACTGGGCCCCAGTGCAGCCAACATTCCGCTTTTACCGCTAAGGAAGTCATCCACCATAGGTTTCACCATTCTCTCATACACTGCAAGCTAAAATTTCAAATGTAAATTTGTGAATATGCCATTGCTCGTTGAGAAAGGATACAAACTACTGAGCGGAGGAAGAAAAGTTGACAAGGGAAGAGTACCTGAGATGAATCGGTAGGAAAAACATGAGAGAAACCTCCGTAAGTCTCAGATTTAATTTTCTTAGACTCTTGCAAATCTATAGGGGTTGATAGTGTCACTGAATGAGAGTCATTAACCATTATACAAACTATGGAGCTCTTCTTGACATTCTTTTCCCGTCCGAATATAGTCTTTTTGGTTGAGTTCTGAGGCCACGCATTCTTAGCTCTTAACCGCTGATTCTTATCAGCAAGAGAGCCTACTTTTCCAGGACCCTTGGGGTTCAGGAGAGGTCGAATTCTAAGGAAAACTTTGATGTTTTCGCTGCCTGATTTTCCATGAGACGTAGACGACAGTTGCGACGGAGCATTATCCAGATTTTGCGCGGACAAAATTTCTTCATGAGGGAATGGCGGAACTTCCCGTAACTTCGAAATGGATGAATTATAGCATTGTGGGGCGTTGATAGGAGTGGCACGAGCTCTCCGATAAGGGTTTCTACGAATAGTCACAGTGTTAGGGCATGGCAGTGGACTGCCGATGTCCACCGTCTCTGCCTCCGGGTCTCTTTCCTTTCCCTCCATCTGAAGTAAAGATAGATAAACAGGGCGCGGGCGTGAAAGAAACAGCGACGTTACCAAGACGCATAAAACAAGATGCGGTCTGAGCTGAGGTTTTTACTCTGTTAACAAGAGATAACTCCAGGGGGGCACCCCTACACTGACCTCATTTCTCATGCTAAGGATCTCCTGCCTGAGTCTTCGATTGTATCTTTTACTAATGTCTCTACAGACGCGATCCGCTGGCTGACAAGCTGGCTAAGTTGAGCTTCAGCTGAGAAGTTCCCTTTTTTGTTTTTGTTCACTCCTTCAATGATCTGCGACTAGGGAGGAGGAAGGAAGCCTCTTCTCTGCTCCTTTTATATGTAATCTCCATGGTCTCCTGGTTCTCTTTTGTACTCGAGAAAATAAAAAAGAAAAAAAGTTTGGCGCGAAATTTAAAATGCTCTGGCGAGGGAAAGATCATCCCTTCCTCTTCGTCCTCCGCCTTTACCCCGTTCTCCCTCTTTTTCAGGTGCATATTATGAAAATGAATGAAGCTGCGAGTTCCTAAATTTTTTCTTTCAAAAATCATAACTTTCAAATAAATATAGTAACTAGTAACCTATGATTAGTACGAGGAAAATAAAATTGAGAGTGGAAAAAATTTTAATGAGTTCTATTTAAAATATTGAAAAAATGGGATTATAAGATTTTAATGAAAAGAATATGTTAAATAAAATAGTAAAAAATTAATTAAAAGTTTTAATCCCCTTTTATAAAAAATTTTACAATATTTTTTTTATTTTTTTAAATCAAACTCATTAAACATTTTCCTCGTCTTCTTCTATTAAATAAAGAGCGGATAAATTCCCAGAAATAAAAGAAAACCCCAATAAATCTCGTTTCTAAAAGAGAGCACTTCGAAAAATTCAACTGAATTTTTTTTTGGGGGGGGGGGGATCCATCAGAGGTCAAAACGAGCTTGGGTTTGATCGAGACTGGGCGTTGGGCTTGATATCTTTTTGGTGATTAAGAAAAAAAGGTCTCTGGGTGAGTTGTTTCTTTTCTTTTCTTTTGCTTTTGTTTCCCTTAAGCCCTTAACCAGCATGGCAGCATGTGCATGCGAGTTCTGAAACGAGGAAGCTATCTTATTTTTTGAAGTGAGAATGTATTAAACAAATATGCACGACAGATCAGGAGCAGCTAAGGACTTTTGTCTGTGAGGCTAACTATGGACTCAGTCCTTGCTGTGTGGTTAACTAAGTTACAGACAAAAGAAGCAATATTCTTAGTAGACTGAGTGTCATTACAAAAAATGCGTTTGTTTGTACTATCCCAGAGTTTCCAAACAAGATAACTAAAGAAGAGTCTCCAGGAGATGCTGTTGGTGGTTGGTTTGAGGTTCCTGAGAAGCCATTCCTTGAGAGCGAGGTTACAGAATTCCTATAATTGACTTCTGGGGATCACTCTACTCCAACAGGATATGGCCAGAGTGCAGTGCCTTAAGACATGGTGCAAGTCTTCTGGAACTGTTCTACAAGCGTCGCAAAAAATATCATTGGTCATACCTGGCAAATGCCTTTCGGTATTAGCCAGTAATCTATTCTGGGTGGCTAGCCACAAGAAGATTCATACTCTTTGCAGGCCAAGCCATCGAGGAAGCTATCTTATAACTGTTCATGGTCACTGCCTTCGTGTGAAAAGGCCGTTATACCCTCAATATAAAATGCGAAAAGACACCCACTAGACTACCTCCCCCCCGGGGGGCCCCTTTCAGGCCTCAACAATCATCATCTCCTTCCTCTATCCTCATAAATCGAGGTATCTCCACTGTCTCCGTCGACTAACACCAGCAGCAGCCACTAATAAACAACCGCCTTCTTCGTGCATGTTCCTTGATCGTCGTGCTTCGCAATCATGCCTTGATCTGATCTTAATTTTAAATCCCTAAGTTTTCAGAGCACCGTCATCGTTTATTTGGATTTTTTGGTCAACACATCTTATTTGCCAGCTTGTTGCTTCAAATTTTCTTTCGATTTTCCAATTTAATTTGTTGCTTCCAACCTGCTTTGCAGGCACTGAGATTAAATCCACGGTTTTTAGTTTATACAATGTCTTTCATATTATTAGGCCATGAGGTCATTGATATTTTATTACTGTTTAACTGAATATTTTAAACAGACTATTTTGTTTGAGGTACTATTTGGCATTGGATGTGGGCGTGTTTTTTAATTAGAATTTGAATATTGATTCATTATATTAAAAAAAAAACTAATCACTTCTGTTAAACCTAATCATATTAGTCTTGTTGCATTTTAACAAAACAAAGTTACGGGGATGAACATTCCAATCCATCCACTTCCATTTTTGCCCCATCCTTGGGCCCAGTTGAATCCCACCTTCTTCAGGCTCTGGGTCTGGGACGCATGCAAACGTGATATATAACCTTTAAAGATTTACGTTTTTAATTCCCTGTGCAGGCAATTTGCACGGGTTTGCTACATGTGATTTGGAATGACTTGCAACTAAAGCCTGGCTCTGCCTTTAATATTACGAATTCATGATAGGGTAAGGTGGTGCAAGCGCCTGACAGTGATACCATTGGACAAGGAACCGACCATACTAACTAAAAATGACAATGAGGGGGATTTGACAATCTCTAGTCCTTGGTCGGCGCATAAATCTGGTGGTCCAGCCTAATTATCTACGTATGCTTCAACCATTTAACATAAAGGGCGAAAATTACCATAAAAGATTAAAAATTCTTAAATAATGAGATGCTAGGGCTTGTTTGGTTTCAATATATTATACTACATTCGATCCTAAATACAAAAACTAGTTGATAGTTCTAAATATAAGACATTAATTCATTTTGTTTTTCAAATTTAGAATGTGTTATGAAAAATATTCTTATTGATTATAAGGTATTTTCGACCAAGTATGGTTTCAATTTATATGATTGAATAAGAATAATTTAAGAAAATCAATATATATTTGTTATACATGACTAACTTAACTAATTTTTTTAATCCTTTTAGATCAACTATCTAGCTCTTATATTGATGATTGAAAATGACATATACTTATCCATTTTCTGTAATTTGGTGTGTAAAAAGTTATTCTCTCCTATCATAAATATAAAACCTATTATATTGAGAATAGGTATTACATTTAGAATGGAAAGGCTCAGTGAAAATGAAAAAATCTCATCAATAGCAAAATGTTGAAAATGGACCAGACAAACAGTTGCTTTCAATCATCAGCATCAACAGCTAGAGCATTTTTGTCAGAAAAAATGAAGGGCTAGAGCATTGATTGCAGATTTTTTTCGCCTCATGGGAGCATCATGTTCTTGCATCCTTGGTTATTAGTCAAACAACGTTTTTCAACGTTTTGTATTAGAAATTGGAACACCTGCCGTCCAAATTTCATATTTCAACATCGACTTTCGGACGTTCGGAAAAACTTCTTTGATGATGTGTGGTTACAGGGATCTGACATTTTTTTCCCACAATCTACCACATACTCCTTCCTGCCTCTTTTTAAATAAATCTTTTTATTCTTCTTATAGAATCATAACTACTGAAATATACTCTCAGTTATTAAAAAAATGAATTAGGTAAATAAAAAATTTGATTAAAATCAGTTAAAGCCAAAAAAAAAATATTACCTTCGATTTTTAATATAAGAGCTCGTTAACTAATTTCAATGAATTAAAAAATTAGTTAAGTTAGTTATTTATAATAAATAGGTATTGTCTTTTCTAAAATATTCTTCCTAATAACATGTATTAGCTAGAGCTACTGTACAGTGAAATATTTAATGCGCATAACTACTATAAGTATTGTTTTGGAGAAAATAGATAAATATGAGATAAAAAATAAATTGAAGTTTTATATTTATGACCTAATTAAAAGTTAAAATAACTCTCATATTAATGATCGGAGGTAGCATGACTTTTTTTCCAAAAAAAGTACTAGTAGAGGGTGAGTGGACGAGCGAATAATCAGTGTAATGAGGTTGACTAATGACTAATGAAGGCAAAAATAAAAGAGATACTCGAAATTTTAAACAAATTATTATTGCTTCTTATAAATAGAAACACGCCATTTCTAAAAAATTCAACACAGAGAAAGTAATACTATCTTTAATCCTTAATAATAAGACATTATTTGATTTTTATTTTAATCATAAATATAAGATCCCGATCCATTTTATCTCTCATATTTATGCATTTTTCTCAATGTAGTTCTTCTAACAATAGTAGTTCTAGCCAATACACTTGATTAATAAGGATATTTTAGGAAAGACAATATATATTTATTACAAATAACTAACTTAACCTCTTTCCTTAATCTCCTCAAATTAGTCAACTAGCTCTTATAATTAGGATCAGAGCTAGTATAAAAGTTTATTAACTAACTTGAGTAGTTAAGTTAGTTATTTGTAATAATTAAGTATCGCTTTTCTTAAAAATACCCTTATTAATCATATGTATTTAGTTATTTGTAACAATTAAGTGTCATCTTTCCTAAAATATTTTTATTAATCATGTGTATTAATTAGAACTACTATTTGATAAAATCTTTAACATATATAGCTGCTACAGGATCTATTTAAAAAAATGAATAAATATGAGAGACAAAAATTGATTGGGATCTTATATTTAGGATTAAATTAAAAGTCAAACTAATTCTCATATTAAAGATCAGAGGTAATAATTTACAATTGGCCCGCCAATTTTTAGAAAAGCATGAACTTTTAAAAATGCCTTTCTTTTAACACCGGTTCCTAATTAACTCAGACTTAAGAAGTGTTTGGAAAGTATCAGAAGTGCTTTTGAAAAACATTTTTCCGCAAATCGAGATAAACTCTTCCAATAATATTTTTGAAACAAGATTATTAACGTAAAAGCACTTTTAAAGCTATAGTTTTGATTCCGTCCAAATATCCCCTTAATCTAACAATATTTTTGAAACAGGATTGTTAACGAATCATTGTCTTCTTCTAGCGACATTTTACACTGTGAAGCGCAAAACTGCTGGTCTAAAAAAGGAAGCGCAAAACTCTTCAAGACGACATTTTTTACCGCGAAACACAAAAATACCCGGGGGGGCAAAAAAGATTTATAAAGCATTACGAAACGAGTGCAATATAACTCGTGTATTATTTCTTCCCAACTTTAATAACTGGAGGCATAAAAATAAAGTCTTGCATCAAAATTTTATACATAATGAGCGAATGTAAAGTGGACATAAACCTCCCCAACTTCTCCTCTAACCTCCTATCAAATCATTTATATTTCTATTAGTTTTGTAACAGGTTTTAATTTTTATGTATCGTTTTACCTAATTTTAATAACGTTGTATTTTATAAATAAAAAAAAGGTTTTAATAAAAGAAACATTTTTTTCCCCAACCGAATCTAACTAATTTCCGAGCAGGCACGAATAGTGGAACGGGAGGAGGACCCCATCATTATTGGCAGAGGGAAGGGAACGAAAGTTGTGTAGTCAGTAGTGGAAGGCTATTCGAAATTGCGGGGCCTGCGATGCAAGAGACGCGAATGGTCCAAGACTAGACTCCTCAATATTTCGTCCGACTCGATCCACTTGGAGGAATTCATCAACGGTCACAGTCTTCTCAACGGCCATTTCAAAAATAGACAATCGTACGGCCAGCAACGCTTCGGCGGTTGCCGCCCTACTGCATCCCGGTTTTGGACTTAGACCGCTGTGGTTGTCGGTAATCTCGGAGTAATCGTGACACATATATAATTTACTTAATTTATTTTTTATTAAAATACAGATAACGTGACGCATAATGCATGGTTTTCCTCTTTATATATTAATAATAATATAGCCGTTGAGCTTGCACTGCATAAAAAGGTGGAACCGGCATATGGGTTCATAGAATTGCACGGTATAGAAAATATAGACAAACCCCTGGAAAGTCAGGGTTTCTGAGATCCTTGGGGGGTCGACAACTCCAGATTACACACTCTTTTTGTTTCGCTCCAGATCAATTGAGTCGCCTTATTCTCATTTTTACTTGATCAAAGTATAGATTTTTGTTTAGTCTCCAGGAAAGAAACGGGGCCTTTTCTGCGCTATCATCCGCTGAGTTTCTCAGTTTTAGCTGGCAATTTTTTCCAAAATCAGATATCTGCAGATTTACAGTCTCCCGACGATCAGCTTGTTCTGAAGAAGATCATCGACAATCCCAGTCTCAATAATTCATTTATACTGTCTGATATATTCTGATCTAACTTAATCCCTCGCTAACTTCTACTCATTGGCCTCTGTCATGGCAGCTTCCAGAACTGAGCGATCAATCGTTCCTTGTCAGCAGATCAAAATCAAAACCCCGAAGAAAAACGGGGGGGGAGCTTTCATTTCCAGCCCATCGTCGGAGAATTCGGGCGTCTATGGGGTTATCTTACACCCTCATTCGCATCCTCTGTCTTCATCTGTCGGCAGTCACCATTGTCGACAAAACCAACAGCCACCTCTGCTTCCTCTACCGATTTCTGCGCTTCAGCAGCCTCTGATTTCTAGAAGCGTCAGTCAAGGTTTCTCTTGCCCTCCTCCCCCCACTCGAAGGAACAGAATCAGAGACGCGTCCCTCACGCCCAAGATATCAAAACAAGCCAAGCGAGAAGAAGTGAAAAGAGATCTGAAATCAGCATCTCGATCCATATCGGAGCTTCTCCACGTCCATCAGAGCAATCGGTTGGGACCCGACCCGGCTTACCTTCCCAGGTACCTTCCTATCGTTTTAACCACGGCGTCAGGAGAGGGAAAATTCGAAACATTTCCGGGTTCGGTGTTTAGTCTGTCTCCGCCACCCAGCAGCTTGCCGCTACCCAAGTTTTCTCTGAGACAGAAACTTAGTTGCAACGCTGGGGCCGCCGGCGTTGACGCGGGCGCAACCGACGATCTCCGGCGACTTCTGCGACTCCGCTGAAGTTGCATCCGCGATTTGGTGGTGGAATGTTTAGTGGGTGCGCCGGTGATGGCTTCCGCTGTTCAGTAGTATTGCGTAAATAAAAGGTCAGCAAGTGATCAACAGCTGATCGTGATTTTTCCCGTGTTTTTTCAGGGAGAAGTGTGTGTTCACTAACTCTGTTCTGAAGCAGATTTAAATCTGTTTCGCCGAAGCCGAGCCCAAGCTGTTATGGATTAAAAATACGGTCTGCTTTAGTCTTTTTGTCCTCTAAAGCTTACCAGGCTCGGTTGGTTCGGTTGAGAGCTTTAAGCTTAAATTAAATATATATATATATATATATATATATATATTTGAAACTGGCAAATATCAGGAAGTTTTAGTGTTTTTATGCGTATTGTTCTGAGCTTATGGGTTATAGCCCGTTTGGTTAATGGAATCATTGGGGATGTAATGGAATGGAATGATTAGAAATGGAATGTAATGCAATTATGGTTACAATGAAGTTGTTTGATACTCCTCCGGTCCTTATTATAAGACCCTATTTGACTTTTTATTTGGTCCTAATTATAAGACCCCAATCCATTTTGTCTCTTATATTTATGTATTTTTTTCCAAGATAATTCTTCTAATAATGATAGTTTTAGCCAATATACTTAATTAGCAATGATATTTTAGGAATGACAATACTTATTTATTATAAATAACCAACTTAACTTACTTCCTTAATCTCCTCAAATAAGTTAATTGGGTCTTATAATTAGGACCGGAGGAGTACAATATTAAGAATGATAAAATTAAATTTATTACCTATGTTTAATTAAATACAAATAAAATCAAAATGACAAAAAAGTCCCTAATCAGATAAATTTTTATTTGATTTATCGCTTCCTGCCTCTTTCTCATCAGTGGACACAGTACTCAACCATTACTGTTGCCCATCATTCATTCTTCCTCCTTCATCTTTCTCACATGGGAGCCATCGCTCCACACTCCTTAACGTTCAAAGTGTGCCATCCCTCCCTCTCCCCTTAGCCTCATTGTTAGACGATCAAAGTCTCACCAACCTTCCTCACTGCCATTTTTTTGATGCTTGATAGTAATTTTACTCAAATAATTTAAACATTAAAAAGTTAAATTACCTCGTTGTTAACATTTAAATTCACAGTAACATATTATTAAATAAAACTTAATTTTTTTTAACATTACATTTTTATAAAACCATAAACGGGGAAAATCATCGTTTGAGCATGATCCCAGCCAAGTTACTCCAAACGTCAAAAGGTCGTGGATTTGGCGATTGAGCGAGCAAGATGATATGGGTCAACATGGTTGATTAGAAGTGGATTTTAATTATATGAAGAGGATGCCGACCTCTGTTAAGATCATAATCGTTTGATAATGTTGAAACACACAGGATTATTGGGTTACAAAGATGAATGTTACATGGTATAACAAGGTATTATGGATTTGTATTTTATAGGTGTCACGTGCTTAAATTTCCTACTGACTTCGATTTTCCCTCCCAGTGATTATAGCATCACCTTGCTAACAATCATAAATATTCAAAATTGATGTGCAGATCTTCGGGAAGATGGGCAGTTTTTCAGAGAACATCCAAATGCAAAGCCTATTACTGCAGCCCAAACAGACCATCCTAACGCTCAATTTTGAAGGCAGAGGTTGCTATTATCATGTTCTGTTGTGCTCTACGCACTTGCGTTTGTTCTTGCTCAGGCTCAAGCGAGAAAAATTGATAAAGCTTATTGTTGCTCCTGCATAAATCGAGAGCAGTTTCAAAAACGTTGTTATCAAGCATGCACTGGGCGTTTAATGACACTACTAATATGGGCTTTCATGTCTCTGATTGCGGAATGCGAAAGCTGAATCTGACGCTGCCACCAAAGTGGTTCTTCAACCGACAAAGCAAAAGAAGGCGGCACAAAAGACCTCTTCAATATTGTGATCAAGATGGCACGAGAAGGGTTGCAAGGTGGCCCTGAATAAAAGTTTTTGGAACTCTGTGCTGGCTGATTTGGAAGAACAGGTGTTGAAAAAGCTTCGAGGGATCGAGCGCTCAGCCATGCAACTCGATTCATCTTTCCTTATATCACCTGATGGAAGGAGTTGAAAATGGCAAGATTCAATCTTCCAGATGGAAGGCAGAGAAAACATCAAATGGAAATTACGTCGAGCTGGATATGTTCGAGTGGATGTTGATGGTTCAGTCTTTCACCAAAACCAAGCTGTTTGTGGAGGAGTTGCGAGAGACGATCAAGGAAATTGGCTCAGGGGACTTCAACAAGATCTAGGCTATGCCCCGTCCACTGCAGCAGAATTACTGGCTATCAGATCGGGATTGAGGATGTACAAAGACATGAACTTTTCACAGGTTCAGCTGTCTGCGGACTCCTTGGAAGCTATTCAACTTTTGTTGATGGATAGTGGAGATGGACACCCTTTGAGTAGCGAGACACAAGAGACCAGGATGCTCATTTTTTCCACCTGGGATATTGAAATCCGTCATACATGCAGAGAAGCACTGAAGTGTGTAGATTATCTTACAAAGTCAACTCATGGGTCGAGTAGGGAAATGAGGCCACTTTCAACAGGCCATAGACAATATTGTGTGGCGCAAGTTGCTCAGGATGTCTTGAAGGCCAATATGGGGGCCTTTGACCAGATGTAATTTTGTTTGTTTTGTCTTCAAGCGTAGCTTGCCTTGTTATTCAAAAAAAAAAAATTGTGATCAAGAATAAGAAATTGATAGGAGGTTGAAGCCTCTCAAACGGCCAATCTCATTTTCTCCACGTTCCACAGAGCAGGAAACTGTGAATATAGTTTGGCCTGACAAGTAGGGTCACTTATCCGATTCTTTGTAATTACCTTCGTCTTGCCAGCCTACATATTTCCTAACGTGGTCGGCTATTCATTGCCTGTACTTCATTTACAACCCGTGCTACTTAGAGAGTGTTTGGTTTCTGTCAAACGAGATAAATTACTTCATACATTTATTTCGTAAACTGTAAAAACACTTTTGAAACCATAGTTTGGTTTCTATTCAAACACCCTTTTAGTATAGATTTTAGCATTACATGACGCGCAATATTGCCGGCAATGCAAGAGGCTGGTTGGGATGAAATTTGCCAAGTTACATTTAGAGCTTGTTTAGAGCTCCGTTCAAAACAAACTTTTAAGCAAGTTCACATAAACCGAGACAAAACTTTTCTCACATACTTACCTCATATTTTATAAATTACATTTGAAAAATTACTTATAAATCAATTCAAACGAGCCCTTATTAGTTGACTAGACGAGTTATTGGGGTGTTGGCACAGAAATCGATATGAAAAGGGGCAAACATATAAAGAGACGGGCGCAAAAAGAAATGATCAATCAGCGGACAACACAAATTCGAAGATACTAAACTCTTTATCCTTGTCCTACAAATTGCATCCAGCAAAAACCATTGCACATATGAATTTATGAACATTAAACTATCAAGATTGTTCCTCAGATCACATTCCCTAAAAACCGCAAAGAATACGATGCATGGAATTGGGAAAAGAAAAAGAAACTGACAGACTCAACGATGATATTTAGGGTTTAGTAGAGAAATTCCATCGCTGTTACACAAACGGGAATCGAATCTTGATAGAATCATATTTCTCGGCCAGTAGTCCACCCTTCTGTTTCTGGAATTGTATGTACCGCAATGTGCTGACAAAGAAAACATCCGAAGCTGGATTCTGAATCTCAGTGGCGATTAATTCTATCAGCCCCTGAATTGCAGAACTTGTAATCTGTGGATTTTCTTTCTCAAAATAGTACAAGTACCTGGAGCAATTCAATCACAATTTTAACATTCATTACCGAAAATATTATTAAAAACACCAGAGGTAGTTTGACGTGACTGACTTGTTCAGTATTTCAACAAACAGAGTTACTGGACCACTGCTACCCCTGGTCACATTGGCCATTTGCTGAGCAGCATTTGCAATCCTCAAGGCACGCTTAAGGCAAAGCAATACCCTTAACACGCCACACACCAAAATGACAAAGTGAAAAACATCATTTGGACTTTCTTCATTACACAGTATAAAGCAATGCTTAACAATGGTTAACACATGAATTTAAAATACAAGGAACCTTGCCAATCAATACTGCCGGGCATCAATTCATAAAACAAAGTTAGCCTCGCCAGCTTACCGTTCACCATCTTTAAGACCATCTTGATCATCAACCCAAAAAAGATGTGAGCATGCATAGACTGCCCGGCACTGATCAGGCTTCTTCAAGAGCTTTGCAGAATACTGTGGGAAGCAAGATTATCAATTCAGGTATTGCCATGACCACGTTGTGCTCAATAAGAGACGCCAGTATATGCCTGAGGCCTGTTGGCCTGGTGGCACGGATGGTGCCCTTGTGGCACTAGGAATCAGGGTTCAATCCCTGCCTGCAAGCTCGCAGAGCTTGCTTACCCCCGGGGGGGGGGGGACAAAAAAGAGATGCCAGTATATATTGTTCTGAAAGACACACTACTGGCAAACTCATCAGATGCTTACCCCGGTAGCCTTGTGTGTCAAAGTATCCCTATTCTCAACACCAAAGACGTTCATCCTCTGAAGCATCCCAATAATTAGATGAATTGCGGTTACCTGAGCTTTGGAGTCCTAAAAGCATTGTAACAAAACATTTCTTTTTTCAAAAACACTATATCTACGGTCACATTAGGGAAATCTTAAAATGGACAGCTTTGTTAATGATTACCGCAATTTCTTCCTCATATAATACAAATGCCTGAGTGAAAAATTCATAAGCAACAGGCTCAAGGTCACAATCATTAGCAGCCTGATTGTCACAAGAAAAAAAAAAAGCCAGAATAAAATCAGTTACTGAAAATGTTGCCTGGTTTTAAGAGGGCCATTAATTCAAGATAATAGGCGTAGTGACTTTTGATCAAACAGTGAACATGTTACAATAACAATTAAAAAAACCACTATATGTAAGAGGCTTGCGATTATTATTCAAGTCCTTAGAAACTATTTCATTATTCAGACATGCACGATCTTCAACCTGGAAATATATAAACCATGCATAATTCACAGTGCAGAATGAAGCCCTAGCCCCTTACTTCCCTCTTTATGAGTCCTTATGTGTGGGAATAACATGGGCAGAAACATAACATTTATTTCCCGTCACTTTTTGAAAGGGATACCTCAGCACATTGGAGATACAGCCTAAGCGCCAGCTCCGGAGATGGAACAGAAGAAAGAGCTTCAATGGTCTACAACCAAAAAAAATTATGCTTTTTCCATCAAATAATATAATAGCAATGCATAGTTCCTATTGTTTTTATATAAATATCAAAAGAGACTTGTCATTCAACGCCGCAAACAATACTTCAATGTTGTGGTGCATAGGTTTTATATTCTTCTAGAGTTTAATTCTTAAAATTTACCTCATTTAAGAGTTGAAATATTTTTTTGGGTGTTGTAGGAATATCTTCTCCCACAACATCTCCATCCTGCCCTTGTAGTTGCCTAACTAACTGAAATGAAATCATAAATCAGAAGAGCAACAGGAAAACAAAAATGAAGAAGAAATTGTTCCGTCCCAGATAACATTATTGTGAATTAAAACCCACCATTGTATTACAGGTAGATTGATTCCCATTGCAAAAGAAAGTTTAGGAGTTGACAGATGCATTATTTAATGCATAGCTAGCGGGTAATTTAAATATATACTAGGAGTTGGCAGAAATAGTTGGCATCAGACGGCATCAGAAGTACAAATTCTTATGCCTTGCTGCCTTCAGGATATCTTGTTAGAAGTGGATGAGAATTGTAATATTCGAAAAACATGGAACCTTCAATACAAAGGTTAACCTTTTAAGGATAAGAGTTACCTCTGCATTGTCCCAGCACAAATAAGTTACTTCACACGTCACTTTAAGGGGTTGAATAAAGGACAAACAGGATCAAGTAAATGCATTTTTGCAGAAATGCACATTCAACTTAAAAGAGACGCCTCGCTAAGATGTTTTTAACACATAAAAAACAAGTGTGCAATCAAGGAAGAAAGATACCCTAAGTGCGGAAAATACAAGGGAAGGAACTGTGAAGGGTAAGCGCCTTGGTCCTCCATTCATAATATGTTTCTTCACAGTACATATAATCTGAAGGCCAGAAAATCACAAGTTATATGAAGTAGAATACAATATAAATACACCATATACAAAACCAATCTGAATTCAGTTTAAGGATCAATTACTAAATGGAAACATGCGATTTTGATTTATATTTGTAGTGAGATAAAAAGGGCAAGTGTTATAAATATAAACATTTTAGCATTCCAACAACATGAGTTCAACATATACCTACCTAAATACTAAAAAAGGAATCCAATTTACACAACTCTATTACAGCAATGTTTATCTCAAAAACATTCAATAGAATAAAAGATTAATGCGATTGATTCTGAACATAGTAGAACATACCTTTACCATTTCTTCAGGATCATCATTATGAAACATGTGTATGAGGCGGGCAACAGAATTTTGTTCTTCATTGAAATCTTCTTCATCATACTATTCATGAGTTGTAAGAGATATTTAGACTAGGATTTAATCAAATCAAGCATAATAAAAAAAAAAAAAATTGAAATATGCAATAAAATGGGGCGAAAAAAAGAGAAAGATAATTTTAAAGTAACAGCTGAAAGATTATGGAGTTGAAAGCAACCTCATCCAAGGCTGTTCCGTCCAAATCCTTGATAAGCCCTTTTATTAACTCAAACAACACCTCAACCTACAAAGGCACACATTTTATGTTTGAATAAAGGTAAATTCATAATGCAAAACCAATAGCACGTTAGCATACCTTATCAGCAGTGGAGATGCAAGTGTTATTTTTCATTATGCTTTGGATAATAACCATGGCCATAACTTTATTTGTTTCATTATCAAGATGATCCATAACACGGGGATAATTAGATAGTGTTAAGGCGGTCACAATATCATTGTATTTATCCAATGGAGCACTTAAAAGTGCAACAACTTGTTTTGTTGCTCTGTTGTCATCAAGTTTTGGCATTCCAGAAAGTTTCTTGACACAGGCTCCCTGCAAAAAGTCTCCATCAAAATGCAGCTACCATAAAATGCTAATTCTATCAAAATAGTGCCCTATGAAAGCAGAATTTCAAGAAAATGAACTTTTGAGAAGAAACATACCAGTACTTGATCCACATAATCAAGCCGATCAGGATGAACATAGAGAGTAAATGTAAGAAGAGAGACTTGCAATGCAATGGCTCCCACAATAGGCATGTCGGCCTGTGCTTCAATAACCTGCAGTGAAGTGCAGGTTATGGACTTATGGTCTAGAATTACGATTTCAATAATAATTATAATCAGTAACCACAAGGAAGTGGAGTCCTTCTTCTCTCCACTTCTTGGGGAGTGAGGTAATAAGGTCAGGTCCTGACTCAAGCGACTCATTGACTATCATTGACACTTTTTTTTACCACAAAAAAGCCTGGAAGTAGGTTATACAGATGTTATACTCAGAGACTAACAATAATGTAACCACCAAAACCTAGAACCGGGAAGGCTAACTAGTCTCGAGTGAGTTATAAGAGAAAGAAACATGACAATCACCAGTAACAGAACTAGCATAACACAAAGACCGATGCTAAAGAATAGGAATAATCACAGCTTTTGAAAACATTAAGATAAAAATCTCTGGAAGTACAGTAAAACGAAACAACAAGTTTCTTTTAAAAGGATGCTATAAGAACGAGCATAAAGTCAAAATTGTAACCACAGGAAAAAGTCACCTTACCCTGCCTATTGCACCACTTAATTTGGCAAATGCTTCCACTTGCAGAAATTCTGGCAAAACCTGATGTAGATACAATATTATCAACATATGGAAAATTAATTAATAATGAGAAGAGCATGTGACTTACATCAGTACTTGAGGCAGCATAATTTGACAATCTCTCCATTAACTGAGATAATATTGCCTTGATGTCTACTGTCGGCTGCATGTTAATTACAGAATAATGCCAGTCAAAAGGAAGAAAATTGGTCTTCAACTTCTCGAAAATTGAAATAATGCTTGTAGATTTTATTTATGAATAGCTTCTGCATTGTTTCATTCTTCCCCTGCAAGAGAATCGCTTTAAATAGATTCTGAAGACCCACGAATGATTCTATTCCATACAATGGCAATGCAGATTAATGGTGTAGGAAAAAAAGGTTGAATATACAAGGTAAAACATTTTTATAAATTGACCACGTTGATATTTTTAATTTCATATTCAAATTTCAAGCCAAATAATATGAGGAGTGATTAGATCCAACTCAAGAGGTTAGCAATTACCAGGCTAAACTGCCTAGGTTCAGAAAATCACATCTTTAAGCAACTATTGAAAAGGCACCATGCTTCGTATACTTTTTAACCATCATAGGCAAAGTTATGATCAAAATATTATAAAGCTTTTTAATTAAAACCTTTTAATAAGACATACTTGAAGTAAAGAAGGTAGTAGACAGGCTGCAGGAGATCAAAACTTGGTGTTGAACATGGGGGAGAAACCACAGATATAGCAGAAGAATGGATAAATGAAGTTTTCTACAATCTCAACAATGATAAGTACTTTGAGTGTGACTTTGATTCTGCTTGTATATGTATAGATTTGACCTTCAAGCATATTAAGAATCTCATATTTCAATCTTGATCATCATACCCACCTGTAGTTGGGGACAAGCACCCAAAAGTGTCTCAAGAGTCTGCAAATGGTATTCATCAGGAAAAACCTGAATTATGCATTCCATCAGATAAAACTGGGCAAGCTCATCTTTGCAGTTGACAACCTGGGCAAGCCAATTTTAAGATAAGGCGAATGCCTATTATGATACCAATGCTTCCGATGATAAGAAAATAATCATGAGACCTGCTCTAAGACCCTTGGAAGAACAGTATCTTTGTACATGTCAAGGTCCACGCCCTCTATTTGACTCAGTACATGGAGATTCTTTCCAACCTATAATGATTGAGAAAAGAAAAATTAAATATATAACATTAATATGAATAGCATATAGTTTCACCAGGTGATAATTTCTTACAAGATCACGAAGTTCGTTCCTTTCTTTTTCCCTCTTCTCCCTTATCTGACTGGGCCCCTGCAGACCAGAAATCCCAATTGAAGGCCTCAGCTCAGGATCGCCAAAGATTATGCATGATTCACAAGCACCATAACACCTGCATGGCCAAAAAGCATCCTCTTGTGATTCATTTTTACTTTTATGGCATGCAAGTACCGTGGTGCTATGCATCAACTAAGACAAATAAGAGTTGAAGGTCAGGGAACCTGATACTGCAAGCGAACCCAAAGCTTATTCATTTCTGTGAAGTTCTGCAGAACAAATTCGACAGAATCCATCACACTGTCAGCATCCCTGCAGGAAAACAGTGTCTCCCTTCAATAAGTACGCTGTTGGTACTTGTTCAGCATAATAACATAAGATAAGGTTTGTATTTTCAAAATTGAAATCACAAACATGATCGCATGCAGAAATACTAAAAATCCATGTGCGCACAAATCTACAGGCTTGGGAGTTGGGACATTCACAAAGTTGCATGTGCCAGAGACCATGGAGCCATAGACTCAGTTATCCTGGTGACTGGCATTAATAATTACTTTAATATGAGCACCAAGAATTAGGGAGATACGATGAATGTATATATGAATGACTGCACTTTAAGAATGAAGCAGCAAGGAATCCAAACAAGTGATTGCCTTACCCTTCATCACCGGAACCAATGTCCGGTAACTTATCTCTACTGACTTGAGAAAGGTAACTCCTCAAAAACAGACCACGAATTGGATGTTGAACACCGAGACACATTTCCACTAGATCTTTAAGAACTTCCCTGACAGGAGCATCCTTAGATCTGATGTAAACAGATCCCACCGTGCATAGTAGATACCTGGTAAGTCAACAAACATATGAAAAGATAAGGGATGAACATGCACAAGAATTTCCAGCAAGGGAAGACACCGGAGCAAGGAGAGATCGAAATTTTCAACTGCTTATTTCACAAGAAACGAAAGAGCATAACTAAGTTATTCAGTTCAGATATGAAGCTCCGCTATGAAGCAACAAGTGAAGAGAAGGGTGCAGGTGAAATCAAAATCATATACAAGGTTATTCAATTTAGAGAAACGTGTGAAGTCAACCAGAAACTAGAAAATAGAATAACAGCAAAGGTAGATGAGGATGTAAAACTAGTTACAGTCTAGGCAGTATATTTCCAGCATGTTGGACAAGCTCATATAAATCAACAACTGAAACGCCGTGTCTGCTTTCATCTTTAAAAAAAATCTCCAGTCTCCTGAGCTCGTCGAAGGCTCTCATATCTATGGAATCAAACCAAAAGCATCTATATAAATATTGCAAGAGGACTTGAGCTCACAATTATAAATTAGGAAGCCAAGGGGAATTTTACATAGTTCATAATATTTGTGAGGAGAAAGTTTGGAAGTTCGAAGCTCCGATAGCATGTGAGCCGAGAATTTTAGGGCTTCCCTGAGATTGTTGGCATCCTGAGAGAAGAGAAAAGCATTAAAGCAAATCAGAAGGATGAAGTGAAGAATCGATAGGGGTTTGCATCAAGTTAAGATACCAGGGCGCGATGGATGTAAAAGGCATTCTGTTGAATGCCTGCTATCCCCTCGGCGAGCCATTTCTCTTCGTCTTCTATTCCGTCTACTATCATTTTTGTGATATTTATGTTTTTATAGGAGAGGGCTTGATTTTGATCACCCGGATGCAAGCAGATCAGCTGAAGTCGGAACTACCAAGGCAATGTCGAGTTCAGTGAGTCTTACGTACCTATATCGTTGATGACTCGAAAGTAGTCGAAACGCGATCAAGCCGAGTAAATTTTTTATTCCGATGTTAGAGCTTGGAACCGAGGGTCAAGGGGTATGCACTCTGCATCAACGCCGTTAACCGAATGCCTCCAATCTTCTATTTTTTAAAAAAAAAATTTATTAATCCTTCTATACTGTAGGCTTTTTTAAAGGGGTTTTTGGTGCTAGTTACAAGCTATTTTAAAATTGATGAAAAGTATAAAGATAAAATATTACTCCTTCCATTCCTTATTATAAGAGACATTTAGTGTTTATGGCATGTTCCTATATATAAGAGACACTTTAAAAGTTGTCTCTACTTTTTTGTGTTGATTTCCTATTTTACCCATATTTATTGTCTCAAATTCACACACTCTCTCCCTCTCACTTCTCTTTCTTTCAATAATTTAATTGTTCTCTCTCATGCTCTCTCCTTATTAATGAGGGCATTTTTGGAGAAAAAATTATATTTTTTACACATTGATTGTTCTTAACTAATTTTAACTGTTTTTTATTAACGTAATTCGTTATTCGTCTCTTATAATAAAGGAACGGAGGGAGTATTAATTTTTCACTCTTTCATTTTTATAAGTAATTTCTCGCTATTTTCACGAAAAGGCACCTACAGGGATTTAACTCAAGGATGAAATTATTGTTAAAAAATTTATGTTTGAAATTAAATTAAAATTAAATTTTCATATCGAAGAAATAAAATTTTCTAAAAACGATAAACGAATATATAGAGGCCCAACACAAACTGGGCTTTACTTCGGCTAGCAGCTGGCGTGCCATAGCGGACGTGGAGGAAGTGAAATTATGAACTTTTTTAATAATAAAAAAAAAATCCTTACAAACCCGCTGGAGCATTTCTCCGCCTAAAACCCCAGCCTGCAATTCGATAAAATTTTCAGTGATCATGAGAGGGTTTAACCGAGCGGTGTTCCTAGGCAGAGCCATCAGAAATGATTTCGCCACCGTCTCCGGGATTGCCAATGGCACAACGTATCACCCTCCCCCTCAACTGGTCTTCTATGGCACGTGCTCCAATTCCAACCCTCATTGGCCGTCGCAGATTTTTGCAGAGCTTTTTAATTTCTGACTTCTAATTCTGATTCTTTGAGATTTCTTTGGTCTAGATGGGGAAAGATTGGCCATTTATAGTATGATACTTTTATTCTTCGATGATGATTGTCATAATTTCAGATATCCTTCTACAGGTTTTACCTGGATAATTTAAACGATTTCACTGCGACAGAAGGGAATTATAAGATTGAAGTAAAATAGTAGGGTTGTGTTATCATGTCTTTCTCAGTGGCGTATAGAATATGTTTACAGGTGTACTTTAAATTAATATGCATAATGATCACCGTCGTAATGTAATTCCTTGCATTACTTTTTCCAGCATTCTTAGACTATTATGATATTTCATACAAAATAGTGGAAGTAAACCCAATCAACAAAAAGGAGATCAAGTGGTCTGATTACAAGAAGGTCCCTATCGTGACAGCTGATAGTGAACAAATGGTTGATTCATCAGGTGCGACTTTGTTTCAAAATAATACTTCCATCCATGAAAAAATGTAAAGAATGTTAGAAACCCTGGATTTAATATATGTTGAATGCGTTTGTAATCTTTCCCTCTCTTGCAGACATAATTGACAAGTTACTTAAAAGGATGCATCCTGATTATGACCTAAATGCTGATGAAGAAAAGAGGTGGCGTGGGTATGTTTTTCTTCTTCTCCTTACCCATTTCTTTTTTACTTATTGGATACGTTCGTGCCATTTTACTTGTCTTTTCTCACTCTAGTGAAATAGGCTAGTGTCATTGGAATTTAGGAAACCTGCTGCCATCAATTTTTTCACTTGTTGAATTGAGCGGGTGTGGGTTTAGCCTCTGACAAATTGCATTAACATGATGTTGTTTCTTGTGGTATAGGTGGGTGGATAACCACTTGGTGCATATATTATCACCAAACATATATCGCTCTGTTCCTGAGGCCCTTGAGTCATTTGACTATATCACTGCTCGAGGTAAGATTTCAGCCAAGCCATAGGTTTGTCTAATCTAAACTATGATCTAATGTACCTCAAGGAAACTCAACCAGTGAATCAGTGCTAAAACTGGTTCAAAGATAAAAAAGTTGGGGAAAAAGAGTGGGAAACTAGCCGGATTACTAGTTTGATCAGCTCTTTTTTCTCTTTTACTTTCTAATTTTTTTGTTGTTAGCACATAATAACATCATTTTCAGATGATTTTTCATATGTTCTAATTCTAATATTATATAAGATTTATTCTTTTATATAATAATTGTTAGTTATTAATAATTATAGATTATATTTATAGATTTATTTAATGAATACTATGGTGATGACTGTTGGCTGACTTTTTTGAGTTCAAAATGTAATTATGGATTAACTTATTTATATTTAATATTAAGTTATGAAATTTATTAATAGGAGTTTCTTTTGATTTTCTCATAATCTTCTAATATATAAAATAATATATATCAGTTTTATTAAATTTTGCCTCAATTGGTTTAATGACCATTGCAATTATTAAAATATCGATCCGGAAAATCCTTTGAAATCTTAATAAACACTGTTTAGACCTCCCTTCAGTTTTTATTTTAAAAATTAAAAGCGGGAAGCTTCATCTGACATCTTAGAGGTCCAGTGAGGCAGAAGTACATTACTCCTATATTGACAAAATACCCTGATCCAATGGGCATTTATAAAACTCAGCCCCTTGGATCTGGGTGTGAGATTTTTATGGTATTTTAAGGATTTAAATCTGGATGGTGCAGAGCCTGCCGCCTCGGATCCATAGTTTGCCCGTGTGTGATCAATATAATCCATTATAGAAATATTACATGGACTTTGAGTTTTGACTCTTGAATTATATTAATAGTTGTTTACGATATCTATTGTTTGCTGTGATTTATATGAACAAGTTACTGAAAGGCAAGGGATTGTTAGATCTAAAGGTTCATTGTTCAATAGTTGTGAGATGAACCAAGCATCCTTGATATGATGACACGTAATACAAGCAATAGAAGGGTAAGAACCATGAGCTCATTTCTTTTGGTGTTTTTGTTATACTCGATTGATTGAATGATGGTGAGGTTGTCTAAGTTAAATGACTGGCGGTTGGTTTTTGTGGTTATCTCAATTGTGATATGTTCCGTTTCCCGGTTCCCTGTAACAATTTCCCATTTTGTTTGAAAAATTAAATAACCCAACCATGATGGTTATCACCAATGACCCTATATTATGTGTGACGGAATGGATAGTAGCTAACCCAACCCTCATGGTTAAAATCATTTTTCCTGGATACATGAGTTCCACTGATCAAATTGTTAAGCTTAATTTAGGCAAGCAAATTATGATCTGTATATAATCTGAAAAGCTGTCCTCTATATTTGCAGGCAATTTTAGCTTCTTTGAGAGGCTAACTGCGAAGTATGGTGGGGCTGCGGCTATGTATTTTGTGTCAAAGAAATTGAAGAAGAGGCACAACATTGCTGATGAACGAGCGGCATTATACGGTGCTGCTGAAGAATGGTTAGACGCTTTGAAAGGCCGGAAGTTTCTTGGTCTGTTGAACTACTTTCGTTATAGCTGTAAACACACACACACACCTATTTGAACTTGTTAACTTAGCATGTTACTTATTCTGACAGGCGGATCAAAACCTAATTTGGCCGATCTTGCAGTCTTTGGCGTCCTGAGGCCTATCCGCCACCTCAAGTCTGGTAGAGATATGGTAGAGCACACACAGATCGGGAAGTGGTACTCTGATATGGAAGAAGCAGTGGGACAATCCTCTTGTGTTGATGCAATGAGATAGAGCAGGGGGTTTTTCCCCCCTTGGTTGGGGGGTCCCCTTGAGAGGGGGGGTTGTTGTGGGGATTTGAGGGAATGCTATAGATTTGGGGAAATGTGAATGAGCAGTCTACTGAGTTTGGTGTTTTGCTTACGTCCTCGGTTTCTGGACATAAGTTTGTTGTGCGATGGTACCTGCGTCCTAAAATAGCGCATTGTAATAGTATTCATCTCGTTTTGGGATGGGTAGCAAATCTCTTTCTTGCCCCAATCTGATTACACAGGTATTGAATAAGGGCCTTTGGTAGGCAATCAGTTTATAGGGTGGCTTTGGACAGGACTGGAGTAGCTACGTTATTGTTAGGCTCTTTCGATTGGTGCTATTTACTCCTCTTTTTTTTTGGTAAAGTGCTATTTACTCATTTTTGAAGAATTCAATTTACTCTTTTAAGTTTGTCAGGTTTCTTGTAATACTAATCTATGGTAATTGTATATATAATATAAAAACTATAATTAACTATTTGAGACATTAAATATTCGGAGTAGCTACTTTTTGTTTAATATTTCGGTAATGTATGAAATTCGCGAGTCTCGTATTTAATTTTTAAATGCACGAGTTCTAGATGCTTCTGGGCGTGCTGCATCAAATTTATGTTGAGCTTGCAGTGTTTTTCCTGTATATTGGTGAGGAATTTACTGCAGCATAATCCCACCAACTGAGATATGTCAGTAAAATGTAATTTTAAAGGGTCTCGCAGAATTAACTAGCCCTTGCCTTTCGTTCTGTCTGATGTAGGTTTTAGTTGGAATCACGTTTAGAATTATTTATAAGCAAGTTTTACATGAATTGAGATAAAAAAATTTTTATATATATTTGTCTTATTTTATAAATTATGATTAAAAAAACTATTTATAAGCTGGACAAATTATCCTGGTTTAACCACTGGATTATAACGTGGGGGCGGATTTCATCTTTTTGAGACTTTTTTTTTTTTTTTCAATTGGTGCTAGAGTGTTTGAAATCCTTTAATGACGAGCAGTTCACTATCAAAGCCGCCCATAGGACACTGAAAAAGAAAAACGAAAATGCAAGCTCATTAGCTCGCCAGTCTGGCCTAAAAATGTGGAAATGCCTGCTCATGAAAATGCCAAGGCGAAGACCATTCGCTCAAGCTTGTTAGTCTATTATATGGGGAGCTAGATGCAAGACACTCTGCGCTGAATAAGATATTCGAAGAGTTATTGATGTTCTCAAGCTAGAAGCTAAAATAAGCTTATTGGCAACTGCTAAAAAAGACGTACACTTTAGATGGGCATCATCTCAGGGTTAGTTAGGTTGTACCAGGCTCTATTAGTTTCGTCAATCAAAGGGGACGTGCACTTGGGTGAGCTTATTCGGGACCAGGACAGCAACTGGATTTTGTGGAAAGAAAATAAAATAAACCCAGAAAAGAAAAAAAGGACAGAGAGAGAACTTGGTTGTCTCCCCAACACTGCGGTTGGGTTTGAGTCTACTAGAAGGTTTAAGGCTCTGTTGAAATTTAGAATATGACATGATAAGCAATTGCAGCCTTCAGGACTTGTATAAAATGAATATTATGTGAATCATCCGCTTATTAATATCATTAAAACTGTTGAAAACGTTATCATGAGGGATTTGGATTGTTCCCGTTGATCATACTCTTAACAAATGTGCAGATTAATTAGCTTTTCGGGCATTTATGTGAATACCTTGGTTACACTTGACAAACCCCGTTGGGATGCAGAGACCTCTTGTCTGAACTAAAATTTTCTATTTTCCTTTGCACGGTTTTATTGTACTCTAATATTGAGGGGTATTTGGTTAATCCCAGAAGTGCTTTTCAGAAGTGTTTTTTCGTAAATCGAGACAAACTCATCCACATATTTACTTTGTACACCGTAAAAATACTTCTAAAACCATGATTTTATTCTTACCCAATCACTTCCTAAATAAAAGAAAGGAAGCAAAGTAAAAGTATTTAATATGAATTTTAAAAGGCACGAATTTTCTGGGCAACCTGATTTGTACCGGGAATTGATCTGATTTTTATATTACAATTATCATGATGATGGTAATGATGATTTTCTTTCGCGTTTAAACTTTGAAATATATGCATATAATGTTCGTAGAAAAAATATGCAATTTAGTAGGTTGGCAAAAGAGGAAAAAACTCTCAATTCAGCATAGATTGAATTCGTAACATCTATCTTTTTCCCGCCCACCCTTCTGTAGCCAATGCCCAGCTCAAGTTAATTTCATGGTGCCCCTTTCTCCATTTGGAGTTTAGATGCGCAAGCACAACCGTACCGTACTCGTCGAGATGTTTTTAATACACTTTTATTTTCAATGGCTAGAACACATAACTCTTCCCTATCGAGAGGTTAAAATAGGGTTAGGTTTTGCTTTAAAATTATGGGAGTTTTTTCGTTGGCCAGTAATTTATGTGAGCTGTGTTCTTCTCTGTTGTTCATGAAACATAGATTAACGTATAAAATGAGCGAGAGAAGGGGAGATATTATGTGATTTGATGGGGACTGGGAGAGCGTAATTAATTGAATTTCCTTGTGAGTTAAAAAGCTGTTTTGAAAGTGAGGGGGCGAAGAAAGTGGGTGAGAACCGCGTGATGCTCATCCAATTCCAATGGCTTTAGTACAGATATGCTTGCGTAATGCGCTTGCTGAGAGGAGAGCGGCCTCACGTAGACCCCGCTTCGTCCATACCGGCGCCGGAAGTTTCAGAACTGTTTACTCTTCTTGGGCCCCCAAACATATCAACCAACCAAGTGTTCTACGTGCGCTCCTTTGTCCTATCTGAACGGACAGATTTCAATTTCTGGCTTAAATACCCAAATAACCAAAAAAAGTGGACGTATAGAAACGCTATTCTTTAGCCTTTCCTTTCCCAATGACCAAACTGACAATCCCCCCCATCTCTGATTTCCTCCCATACCCCTCTGAGGCTCTGACCCTTTCACATCCCAATTTAGTGGATTTCCCCCTCGCCACCACCTCCTCCTCTCTCTTCTCCTCCTGATCCCGTCTGACCCGATACTCCGGTGACTCTTCTGTCACAAAATCTGCATGTACGTCGTCGTTTTCCGCCTCCCCTCTTAAATCTCCCTCATTACTCACTAATGCTGCTATTGGTTTTGGCATATAGCCTTTTGAGATTCTACAAACACCCGGTTGATGGGCAAAGCCCGAATCGAGATTTATACCTATATCCACCCAAAAGCCTTGAAAAAGTTAAAAGACAACCTCGCTTCCCCTTTCCTTTTTATTTATTTATTTATTTATAATTATTGAGTTATACATATTCTTCCCGCTCTTTTAGCTCTTTAATTAGTCAATACAATTAAGTCACACATGAAAGTTCCATTACCCGCTTTTAATCACACAATAATAAGATTGTCAGTTTTCCCACTATAAATAAACATCCCACGGGTTTCCTTCTTAATGGTGAGTTTCAGTTAGACCAGAAATTGTAGCAACAAAGAAGGCAAAGTTTATGCCGAGAAGAGACAGAAAGATCATGCATCTTTTCTGATATGGCGAGAACATGAACCTTCTGGCTTTAAACCTACCCATGATTTCGTTTCCGTTCTGGCTTCCTAATAAATGGCCTTGATATATGTCCACAGAAAATAGCACTCCTGGGTGCTTCTGCCCCTCCTCCTCCTCCTCCTCCATTGAGCTAAGATGGCACTTCAAGCTCAGTTTTATTCAGAAAATTCCGGATTGCCCATACGTCTTCCGGATTGGGCAGGGACTAGTCAGGTGCTGGGAATGGATGATGGCCTTCTTCTCAGTCTTCCACACCCTTCAAAGCCTCAGTGCCAACAGCACCAGACCTACCAAAGCTCTGGTTTTGATTGCAATCAGGGGCCTCCGTTTTCCTTCGTATGCAATAGTTTTCCACCCACCTCCTTCTCTGACGCTTTAAGTGCGCAGCTGGAGTTACAGAGACATGAGATTGATCGCATGCTCCTATCACAGGTTATCACATTAGGATGAAACTATCTCTGTTTTTTAAATATGTTGTGTGAAGATGCTTTATTTCCTTCCTTTTTTGGGGCTAAAATCAAGTGTGTGAACTGAGAAATATTCAACTTTCGATTTTAGGCTGCATCATCCTGTTGCGAGTCATTTTAGTGACTAAATTATTTGCCTATACTTTGAAACAGAACGAGAGATTAAGGCAGGCTCTGCAACATCAAAGAAAGGAGCAGGTGGCATTCCTATTGAGTGCTCTTGAATCCAAATCGCTGAGTCTGGTCAGGCAGAAAGAGAATGACTTGACACAGGCAAAAAGGAAAAGTACAGAGCTGGAGGATTGCTTGAGAAAAGCAGAGATGGAAAGCGAAGCGTGGCAGAGAGTAGCCAAGCAAAAGGAGGCCATGATAGTAAGCCTGACGAACACGTTGGAACAGGTAAGAGAGAGGAAGGTCTGGGACGGTAACAGGGCTGAAGACACAGAGTCTTGCTGCGGTCCCTGTGAGGAAAGTCAAAACAAAGAAGAGGACGAAAAGGAGGAAAAACAGAGAAAGAGAATGGCTTGTAAAAGCTGTAACTCTCGGAGCTCGTGTGTACTGTTCCTACCTTGCAGACACCTCTGCTCTTGTTATTTCTGTGAAGCCTTGCTTGATTTTTGTCCAGTGTGTAATTCTGCCAAAGAAGGCTGCATGGAAGTGCTTTTGGCCTAGCGCACCAGGAGCGACGGTTGAGGAAAGAGAAGCTCATTTGAAGCGTAAAAACATATTTTTCTTGTGGATCAAATTAATACTTGAGATTAGATATAGATTAGGGTGTCATTGTGGGGCTTCCGGTTTTCAATTCCTTTTGTCCTGCTCGGCCTTTTTTGGGGACTGGAGTTGGCCGTATTTTGATTTTGTCCTGCATATTGGCCCGTGTTTAGGAATATGCTGCTCGGTAATTAATGGTAGAAAGAATCTTCTCTCACTTTTCCTTCATTGGGGTTTCCTCCTAATATCTGAATTTGACTTGTTTTGCTTGATTCGTCCATCTTCTTTTGGCTTGACAATAAATGACATCTGTCTATCTTATCTCTATCTCAGTCTCAGCCGTATCGGGGACAGGGTTTTGTTTCTTCATAAACTTTATAACTCCGCCTTTTTACTGACAGAATAAAGGATATCTGGAACTGCCCTTTATCGAGGCTTGTTACTGCTTCCGCTGACATCTGAACTGGCGCCCAGCTTTGCGAATTGCAAGTCCGGATATAAAGCCCATTCTGGCTACACTGTTTTGCTTTTGCACAAGGATTTCACTTGTTGACATGGATATTTATGCTTCTTTTAAAATTTATTATAAATTATATGTGAATTTTATGTGCTTTTTGTAAAATTTGAAAGAAAAAAAAACTACATTATACATAATTTACAGCTAGCGTGGCTCTTTTAAATTTTATGATATATTTTATAAAAATGGTTTGATAATTGACTAGAGTAAAGGCTCAAGCGATTAGAAGGATCATTATTACCAATTTCTCAAAAGAAAAAGACATGATATAGCTCTGCAAAGTAAATTTATACTGAAAAAAGGTGCACGCCAAAAAGATTAAAAAGGGAAAAGGAAAGGCCCTCGCTGCCCCTCTGCCCTCTCTTTCTCCTCCTGGCCTGCCAATGCCATCTTCACTGGAGCATCAATACGGCGTTTCAGCTTTGTTCATCAATAACCTCTCAACAACGCGCAGCACGATGCCTTCTCACAAACCGCTGTCGCATTAGTCCCCATCAACGTCATTTATTCACATGTGTTCATAGGAGATGGTAGGAGAACCGAATTTCATCAACGAGGCCTTCAAATCTGTCTGGAGTTTGAACCTGGGTGGTTTGTTGTTTCTAATTTTTGATGGAGCAGATTTTCCCATTGTAGGTTGTTGATGCAGGTCGTGGTCGTCCAATGCCATGGTGGGACTTGAGTTAGACAGCAGGATTCTTTGTGAAGATATTTTGATCTTTTTATTTATAATTTCATTTAATTAAATACCATATTATTATTAAATAAATTCTCGTGCTTGGTTTCATCGTGAGAGGTGTTTGGATTGCTTGAAAAATACTTTTAAAAAATATTTTTTTATAAATAAAAATATTTTTATTTATATTTATTTTATATATGATAAAAATATTTTTTAAATTATAGTTTTGTTTTTGTCTTGTCTGCAATCACCATGATACCAGTTGTTCAGGCAACGACTCAGGATTCGAACTAAACCGGTATAACTTCTGCCACGTGGAACAAGCACCAAAACTTGCGGACGCGGCAACAGCACCCGGGACAGTTCCTGAGATTCCCTCTGCCAACCGTCCCCTCCTCCTCCTCCTCCTGCTGCCTCCAAAGGTCCGATTGGAAGAGCCAATTTTGCAGACAACAACGATGCAACAAGGAGATTACAGCTCCGCTCCCTATTATCAGTTCCCCCCCGCTCAAAAACCTAATCCTTATGCTTCTGCCGATGCAATCCCGAACACGTACGCTTCTGCTCCTCCGTTCTCCTCCGGTTACACTCCCGATTATACATCTTACACCCCCACTTGCCCCCCAAACCCTCCGAATCCCGAAACTATCTCTGCCCCGACACCGGCCACTCCCTCTGCTCCATCATACTCTCCACCTTCCACCTTCAGTTCGCAGCCCGTCAGTTCTTCTCCGCAACCGTCCTCTTTCCCTCCGTTTGATTCTCATCTTTCGTACCAGCAACTGTCCACGCAGCAATCATACTATCCGCCCTATGATCGACACCAAACAGCTCCAAGTTATGCTCACTCCTCCTCTGCTTCTCAAAACCTGAGTCTGAATTCATCATTTTCATTCTCGCACGCGTCTCCTTACGGGCAACCCGGTTCTTCCATGCCTTCCACGAACGAAATTCCTTGTGTGGATCCCGCAAAGTTTGATCATGGTGGCGCTTACTTGGATGATAGGTATGGAGGTTTCAATCAGAGCCCGTCTGGTTTGGGATCAGATTTTTACGGGAATCGACAGGATGGCGGGATATCCACGTATGATCGTGCTCTCGATGAAGTTTACGGAGAAGGCGTCTATGCTTATGAAGGGGGCAAAGTAGAACCCTATGGAGCGCGCGGCACGGCTCCTAAATCTCCTTGGTCGGGCTTTGATGATTATGGGAGGCCAATCAATTTTCCCTCTCCGAAAGAAACCTCCATATCAAACAAGGTTTCCAAAGCAGTGCCGAAGGCTGATGCTCAAGAAGGTGTAAGAAGCGGAGTGCAAAAATTTAGGGTAAAGCTGTTGGCGGAAAGTAGTGGTCAAAACACTATGGATGTTCTCTTGCAGGTATGAATGCTGTAGCTGCTTAATATTTCTGATTTGAGGAGAACTAGTACAATTTATTAATCACTGTGATAAGCGATAAGATGAGTACTTGTATCGTGTCTTCAATTGTTGGATAAGCACTGTTGTTCTTAGTGAAAAATTCTCATTGTAAATCACTAGTAGTACAGAAAATGTCTTTTGATTCGAGATATTCTCATTATTTTTTCCACATTTCCAAATTCTAAATATGGTTTTGGAAATAATACTAAAGTGATTTCTGATTTATTGTATAGTAATGGCATAAAATTAATCAAATATAAGGTTTAATATTCAAGAACGAGATGTCAATGTACATAAATTAACAGCATAGCCCGGGGTTGTGTTCCCTTGCTATTTCATTTCAGTGTCTGTTATATGGAAGGTGGATACCCTGCATCTTATTCCTTCTTATGGTATTCTACTAAATGTTTCTGTATGTGTGTATACAGCAGCAACGACGTTTCCTTGTAGGTCGATCATTTCCTTCCTTTTCAATGCTTTATTGATGCTAGCGATTCCCTACCTCCATCTTCCTTGTGACATTTGGCTTTTTATGACATTCCTCTCTCCTCTTTGGTTACACGCCCAATCTGATAGGATTCCTAAGTCTGAAGTCCTGATATCTTCCTCTTCATGTCTTCCTTTTCGTTGGTATTTGAGACGCGCGCGCGCGCACATGGAGAGTGTGGCCGTGATTATGGTGAATATCAAAAGCTATTAGTTGATTCTTCATTTACTTATCCCTTTTCTGCAAATTTCGTTTGACTAAACTTGGATGTGTGTTGTGTGTATAAATTCTTTCAACCCTCTAGAAACCCTTGTTCTATGGAGTTCAGCATGTCTAACATGCATTATTTTCACCCGTTTCTTGTTCATCCCTATCAGGGCTGATGATCTGAATTAGTATTTTTGTTTTTTGTCCAGATTGGTTTAGATGGAGTCAGAATGCTTGATCCAAGCACCAGTCGAATCTTGAGAATATATCCTCTTGAAAATATTACGAGATGTGAGGTGAGTATGGATTTACTCTATGAAAATTTGAAAACAGTATGAGATTTATCTTTTTAAAAATATTGGTTTAGTTTATAATTTTTCACTGCATAATACAGAGATTTGATTCATCTACATTGGCATTTTGGTCCAAGAGCTCAGTAGACATCGAGCCAAAACGAATCAGACTGCAATCCAATAGTTACACTACCAACACACTTTTGGATACTGTGACTGCTGCAACCATACAGGTGGGGCTTCATAGAATTTCTGGTGATCTTGTTATATTTGCATGCTTGTATGAACCACAATGTAAGTGGCCACTTATAATTGACTCCCAGTTTCTGCATCATCTCTGATGCTTAAGGAGAGACTGAGAGAATAAACCAGGGTTAACAGTAGAAATTAGCCAAGAAGTGTAGAGATTGTGGGTTCTCTATCAAGCAGCTATTATGTTTCTTCAGAATCATGAAAACTGATAAAAATAGCTCGAGAACCCTTTTTCTCTGGATGTTCTAACAAAAGAATCTATGTCAATATCTGTATTCCTATAAAAGTCGCAGGAAGCCGCCATTGGGCTTTGAAATGGTACTTGGCTTATTTTGAGCTTTCTGCATATTATGGGAAATGCTAATTCTGACCCTTCAAAAGATGAGTTTGATAAAATCATGATCATTCAAGCTCTTCAAAAGGTCTAATGCTTAGCTTGAATAGCAGTAGAACAAGAAACCCAAGGCTACTTCTGGACAAGACGTGACAACTAAAACAAAAAGGCACAAAGATAAAAGGAATAATCTATGGGCTGGCTGTGAGCGCTTTTGACCTGATTGGGCTGAAGTGTTTTATATAATGCTTCTCTGTCAATTCCTTTTCTCATGAAGCATCCTCTTTTGTAGTTTCCGAAATATGATGTCATAAACTGTATTTGTGGGTAGTTATCTGTCTTAGTTTAGTACTCCCTTAAATGATATCACAACCTGCTCTATGTCAAAGATTTAAAATGTTTAGTGTCAATTTATAAATGTATGAATGGTTGTGGTTAATTGAAATGGCGGAAATGAAAATTTGGGAGTTAGTGATAGATTTACTTTGATAGCCTTCCTTACCTTTTTCTTTTTTTTCAAATTGACAAATTCCCTCAAACTAGATGAGGAGATTTTTGTAACTTTTGCAACAAAAAAGTGAAGATCCGATTTGCTATTCATTTTTATTGCTGAGATTTCCAGTATTACTGCTCTAGGTGTGTGCCTTATGTTACTTGTGCCGTTCTTTTTTCATTTTTTGTAATTGAAATGATGTGTATGCTTTTCATTCATAAGAATTTTTATTCGTGCTTGTTTTATATATATATATATATATATATATATACACACACACACATATATGTATTTTAAAAAAAACATGTTCAAAGGCTGCTTGAATGGATGTGTATGCTTAGATCTATGAAACATCAATGAACATGGGCTAGATAAACATTTAAACCATTTGAGTCTTGGTCACATTTCCTCTATCATCTGTGCCTTCTGCAATGGGCGTCAAATTTAACTGGTGTTATTAGTGAATGACCTTCGGATCATGATTTTGGCTTTTGTGAGTGTTGGCATGTGAGATTTGTGTTCAGTATGCTCTAATGCCAGAAACATCTTTTCAGAAATGTATCTTTTAGTATGTAGTAAATAGGAAAGTTGGATCCGGATCCCTTGCTGCAAAAACAGCACAAAGGTGCTTCAGGATTTTTGTGTGTGTGTGTGTTTTGAATTTTTTTCTCAATTTATAAGAAATATTATACATAATGAGTGTAGTCTTCTAACTATCATTTTTCATTCTTTTTTTTTTTGTTGGGAAAAAGTGATAATTAACCATTAAAACATCAGGGGGAAAATATAAAATTTGGACCGTAAAAATTGAATCCAGACAGTCCAGATGTTGCTGTTGAAACAGCAGCACCACTGTGCATTAATACTGATATCTTGGAGTTTCCTGCAAGAATTAATGTGAGGAATTTTTTTTTTTTTGGACCTCAATGTGGAGAAGATGAAACTAAAAGGTTTCACAACGTCTATTCAATTTCTCTATAACAGTGTCGTGTTATCACCTTGTCTCTTGCAACGGCTTCTGAAATCTGAACCGGTCACTTATATTTCTTGTAGGTCTTGTAGTTAAATGCCCTCTAGTCTTGATTTCCAGGATCCTGATTACTTGTTTAGTTGTCTTATTTTTTCCTTCCAAACATTGAGAATTGTTTATATGTGGCAATCTTTATCTGCCATCTGTTTGTTGTTGCAGTTCAAGGAAATGGGTGGAAGCAGCAGGCCTGCTGAAGCGTTGAAAACAAATGAACAAGCTACAGAAAAGAAGAAAGGTCTTGTTGATTGGATGAATTTGATCAAACCTCCCAATGAGGAGAAAGATCATTGGGTAACGTTGGAGATGCAAATTTAATTTCTTTCTCTTCTTTCCTATTCCCAACCAGCCCTCCCCTTCTCCCAAGTAATGCTTCTGTGGTTTTAGCTGGAACAAGTCTTTCTTAGAACCAGTTTTATTTCTAGGATGCTTGTGCTTATTTGTTGTTGGTTGAATATGATGGTTAGAAGTGTGCAGTTGCAATTTTTTCAGTTAGTTCCATATGACCATGATTGTATATTCCTCTCACGTCTTGTACTTATAAAGTTGAAAATGCCACATGATCTCGAAGAAAATGAACTGGTCAACTTTGGTGACTCTATATCAATGTAGGATTTAGTTGTTCCTGTATCTTGCTTCTTATTAGGCTCTATCACTCCATCCAGGTCCCTGATGAAGCAGCCTCGAAATGTACAGCATGTGGTACTGATTTTAATGCTTTTGTTCGTAAGGTTGATCCATACCTTTCTTGTCTGTTTCCAAGCTTTTAAGTGTTTTCTGTGCCTGATTGAATGTTTTAATACGTTTAATTGCTAATTTGCAATCATCCGTGCTTCAAACAGCACCACTGTAGGAACTGTGGGGATATATTTTGTGACAAATGTACACAAGGTAGAATTGCTCTAACTGCAGATGAGAATGCTCTGCCAGTACGTGTGTGTGATCGATGCATGGTATGTTCCATAGTTGCTGACTTTTCCCTCTGAAGTGATAAAATGAAAATGATGTTATGAATTGGCTTTCTCAATTGTTATGAGATTATTGTGTCTTTCATTTTTTTTTTTTTTTGGGGATACAACTGAAGAATTTAATATTTGTCATGCCTTGCTTTCCTTCTCGAGTTCCTGCCGAGAACAGGGGAACTAAGGCAAGGTAAAATCTTTTAAAGGATGAGAAATAAATCTTTAACTCATAGTTCTTTTAAAGCCAGGAGAATCTCCCCAAGATAACAAACAGATCGCATATGCTATCTCTTACCCAGCCCTAACTCTACTATTTATGCTGATAGAAACACAATAACTTAAGCAGTAAAAGAATATCTGAATATAAGTACAGTACAAACAAAATAACAGCGCATAAACATGATAACTGACTTATAAGTAGTAAGCATAATGTCACTGGTGGTGTTATCATCGGGATTTCATGGGCAGTTTTCTCATTAACCACCTTCTTGCTGAGCTGTCCTGTATTGTCCCCATTTGCTGTGGCCTATCACTTTTCCTCCTACTACATGTCAAAATAGGATGTGCCGTGCTATCAGTGTCTTTCTCTGCATTTGTGATGCATTATGTTTTCAAGCTGTCGTTTATATGCTTAGGAAAACGGAGATCTTATATCAATTTGTTGTATAGGCAGAAGTGACTCGCAGGCTCAGTTATGCAAAAGAAGCAGCCAGTAGACCTGTGCTGCAGAGTCATGAAGATCTTGCCAGGAAACTGCAGGTATATAACCGTGCATGCCTAATACCAAACGCTTCTGTGCTGTTTTACTTGACGCATGTTGTATGCCTCTGCGTTGTTTTCGGTCACATTGTATGTTTTTGTGTGGCGTTGATTCTTTTTTTCCCCCAATGATTGCTTTTGATAGGAGGAGCTGGAGAGGAATCGGAAGACATCAGGTAATTCTAGTTTGTCAGCCTGGTTTGTAAATTGTTAATAATTGTGGCTGATTACTTGTCAGGCAGAGTAACCGGGCTTTAATTAATCTGTAGCTTAGGTTTCAGTTGGTATTAAGGGAATTTTGAATTGATATGCTGAAATTAGCGGCTGTAGCTTAGTCAAGTGATATAATTCTCAGGGTTAGAGTCTGATGGATCTGGAAGGCGGATGAAAGAAGTTGAATGTCCTACATGCACTGTCCATCTACAGGTTGGAAATTTGGAATCTACTTGGCAATCTCGTTATGTTTCTATCTCATGCAAACACACACATCATTTGTATTTGTAATCTTCATCCTCGCCTTTGTTGTGTGGGTTAAATGTAGGTCGCGGTCCCTGACACTGGTTCTGAGACAATCGAGTGTGGGGTTTGCCAGCGCCCCTTTCTTGTGAGTGCGCGCTGACTTCGGCAGATTGTCTATATGCGTCAGTTTGAAATTCAATTTAATTTTATAGATCAGTCTCTTGCTGATCAACAATGATTGTTTGGGATTACCGTGTGAATATGCCTATAAGATTGTATGAAAGGAGAAACATCTCTCATTCGGTTGTGCTTTTGTAAAATTAGGCGTCATGCATGCCTGTATATTTGTACCAAATCCATTGAATTTTGTGGTCAGGGAAAGGGCAGGGTCGTTCAATGGATTTTTGTGGGGCCTTCCTTTCCGTTGCGCATTCCCTCTACGCCTTCTATCCATGATATCAGAAGTTTTCCCCAAAAAAAGCTGAAAGTATAAAAAGTTGACAGAATAATTGATGATAGTTTTCTACTTTAATCTCATAACGAGGAGAAGAAGGTGTTCTAAAGGCAGGAGAGGGGAGAATTTTTCAATGACATCCCTTAACAAAAATAAAAGAGGTGATTTTGTCAATTTAAAATACATTTAGTAACTTAACTAATAGTCTAATACTGAGAAAACTTAACTAAAATTGAATAATCAAAACCGCATCTCGGTTCGGAACTTCTTTTTTAACTCTTTTATCTTTTTTTTTAACTATTAGATTAATATTTTAAGAGTTGATATTTAAAATTTTTTTTTAACGTATCTAATATTATAAATCAGAGGGAGTATTAAATAATAGAAAAAGGGCATGTTAATAAGTAGCAGGATTATTAAGAGGTCTTAAGAAATAAATTTAATTATTAAAAAATCCCAATAATATCATTCCTAATTTTGAAACTTGTCGCGTAATTCTAATTCTCCCTTAATAAAATTTCCTTAGAAAAAGAAAAAAGAAGAGAAAAGGGAAAATTAGCATTTGTAAAATTACCAAAAAAGAAAAGGTGAGCGGTGCGGCTCCGAGATAGACAAGTTTTATACAGTAATAATTATTAATTAACAGTGATCATTAATTGATATCGTTGGGAAAAAAATCAATAGCATTGATATCCATATAATGAATTTAATTTCAGTCTTCAGAGTGAAATATACCTTTTCAAAGATATCGTTTTCATGTATCCATCTATCATGTGACCAATAAATGATATAATTTGACTTGTTAAAAATATCTCTGTATAAAAATTAGAACTTTTTTTTTTTTAACGGATGTGTTGGTCTTGAAACTTCTTTCCCCAAAAGATTTACAGATAGATTTCAACGAAGAGATTTATTTACAAATAAATCCCCACCGGCTTGAGAAATTACTTTGAAATCCCTTGAGATTTGAATGTGATTTCTAACGTATACAAAATGTTTAACACCTTGTCCCAGCCCTTTTGACCATACTAGAGTCCTTTGGGATTTCGCGATAAAAATAGATAAGAGTTCGGCCAAGAAAAGAAAAATAGATAAGAGAAATCAACAGTAAAGAGAGACCAATAGAGACAATAGAAGGATTTTTCTTTATCTCATCTCATAATGCAATACCTTATTCTTAGTTATAGTCGCACACCTCAAAGATCTCATCCATATTAAACGTAAAGTAATGAGAAATAAATACCATGAATTTGAAAGTGGAATAATGGGAATTACTTGATCATAAACATGAAGTGCTAAAGGTGATGAGAAGATGAATATCACAACTCTGCATATTCATAATACTTCCTCTTATATGCCTATTAATTAAGAATATATATTTTATTAAAATATTTCAACTTGAAAGAATTCTGTAGAACAAAAAATGTTTAAAAAAAAAAAAACAGGGTATATCAATTATTGATATGCTTCCCAATGTTGCCTTATCATAACCTTATCAGAAAAACATAAATAGAACAAAACCCTAGCTAGGAAAATAGGAGTACGATACATATTTACTTCCCTAATAACAGCATCACTCTTAAAATTATTGTGCTTGAAAATTGTATATGCAAATTTCTTAAATTTGATTGTTGCCAAATACTTTTCTAAGAATATCTTAGTTTTGGTTAAACCATGCATGATGCATGGTTATTATTTTCAAAATATTTTCCTTTAATTTTCTTACTTATTGCGGTATCTCAATTACAAGTCCGTAATTTCTACGCAAGTTCATGATTTATTTGTGTACAAGATTCTCATTTAATAATATAATATTATTATCAAAATTATTGTCAAGAAATCAAACTTTTAGGTTCCATTTTTCTTTTGGTAACATAATTTATTGTTTTTTTTTTTTTTTACTTTTAGGTACCCAGGCCTCTTCTATTTTATTTTTTATTAGTTACATGTGAATATGTGAGGATAGCTCAAAGACAAAAATGTCATGAACTCTTCATTTAATCTAACCCGGTGGTTGCATAACTCCCCCGCCCAACCACCAGACTGTTTCTTCCAAATTGATACCTCACACGCATTGTCCCTAAATAGCAAATATCGATCGTCCCAATATCTGTTGGACCCACCCACCTTACTACCACCTTGCATCAGACGATGGTTTTTCTTTTTTTGGGCCAACCAGCCGATGGAATTTCGATCATCATGAGAATTTTTCTTAAAAAATCAGTTTATTACTGCGTCTGCGTGGGAACATCTCCCGATTTCAATACCATTTGATGGTCTTTTTTCTCCCTTACTTATACTAAACATGAGACACATCATTGCTTGTCTTTTCAAGTGTTTGTGTGATTTATTTATTTATTTATTTTGAAAATGAGAGAACTATTATATTTTTTGATTTGTTCCGCAATATAAATGACGTGCCCTATTTGTAAGTGTAGTTTTACACATAGGTTATATTTGTCTTTAAATGACAAATAGTAGATAATTAATTTTATGAATGTAAGTGAATGTGAGTTACAAAATTAAATAGTGTATAAATAAAAGCCAATTACACAAAATAAAATCAAAAAAAGACTTGATTTATATACGTATACATTGGCCTTGCCTCCTTTCCAATTCTAGTTATCATCACCACCAGAAAAGATATTAATGCTTGCATATATATGTTTCTTTTGAAATTAATAAGATGAATAAGTTTCCTGTCTTTTTTTCTTGTTATGATTCTCACTGTAAAATGAAACTGAATGAGTTTCAAGTCAGCCTGTGTGGCTGAAGAAAAAGAATAAGCATTAAACCTGTGGGAATCTGCTAATGTCCACGGTTTTCTTGAAAGAGAATCTTTGGAGACGTGACAAAATTATTAAAGAACTAATTTAAGAAAAAAAGGGCAGGACAGATCGTGATCGAGACGTAGCCGTGGGAGACTTGCGATGAGCAGCGAATTAAAGGGCACCGAGGCAGCCAGCTGGTCGGGAAAGACGCGGTAACTAATCGGTACAATCAAATGAATGCGTATGACCTAGTCAATCTTGCAGACTTTGATTGTAAATTATATATAGTAGTTGAGATGATACGCATTATTTATTGTTGTTGTTAATTATTGCTGTTATTAAAATATACTGCTATACATGCATATATAAATATATACATAATTAATGCAAAATGCGGAATTGTCTCAGCTCTCAAGTCTAAAAGTATACTCTCCCATGCACCACCTTGTTTCAGTTGGTAGTTCTGATGTCCCTTTACTGATTCGACCTTCCTGTATGACCCTAAGATTTTATGGCAAGTTTCCCCCGCATAATTAGCAAGACTGACAGCAGCAGACTAGTAGTAGTAACAATTAGTGATTAAATCATACAAAGATTTAGAGATATATTCCGCCAAGAATCTAAATTCCATTAATTAACACTTTGACAGCAGCTGGGGTTAAAACCCATTGCATCAATGCAGGAGACAAGATTATTATTATTATATAGTTTCACAGACAAGCAAGACACACAGCCAGCTAATCCTTCATGTCTTCTGCATACTCTTTACTGACGACACTCCGTAAGAAAAGTGGCAAGTATCACGAAAGATCTTATTATGAAATATTATTAATAATCAACGTGGTCCGTAGGTACACGTTATGTGTTGTTTTTGTGCAGCGTCTCACGCAAATGATTTGTTGGGTCCTCATTTTTGTGTTTAATATCTTGTAACGTAATTAACCCAGAAGGGCCAAGACATTAATTGATACGTGTATTTTAAGCCTACTCTTTCCATTGACATATATATATATATATATATATATATATATCCTGCTATTCAAATGGATGACTAATAATGGGTTCCCTTGAAGCTGTGCCGCGCGCTGTCTGATGAGCAGGCTTGCTGGCTAGGGTAAACACATGGAGGCAATGGAAGCGTATCAAAGGAAATAAAACTTTTAAATCGGTGCAGAAAATACATGAAGCAAAAAAATTTAGAGAACCACGAAACTTAATAGGTGCGACTCTTCTTCTTCTATCTGAGCTGTGTTCCAGTTTGAGCAGTAGAAGCTTTAAATTATGCATCAACCAGCACGAAATATAAAATAGTTTCCAGTTTTTGGAAGAGATGCCTGCAATATCCAATTTGCACCTCTTAAAATCATCTCCCTTCTTAAATCAAGGTCGTTATAGTTGGCGCCCTTCTTTAATGTTCTTTTCATTTGCATTACAAATTATATCTTATATTTAAGATCAGAGTAGTGTGCGTATTTATATATATATTTATATGTACGTAGATGCAGTGTAGTTGGTAGTGGTCGTACAACTTCAACCGCCAACCAACAAAACCAAAATGCCCACTATGTTCGGGCAACACAAATAGAAGTAGCAGCAGCAGCACTGGTGTGCCTATAAAAGTACTACTATAGTAATAAAAATCTCCCACTTATTAAACTCTATTAAAACTACTGTGATGGAATTAATATGGGCGGTCCTCAAAACCGTAATGCATGGAATGATTTTTTTTTTGTTTTTTTTGTTATGAAGTTGGCATAACTTCGCCACGGGAAGAGAGCGTAACTGAAGATAATAGTTTGTGAAGTCCCAATAAAAAGAAAGCCCATTGTGAACTACAAGTTTCATGAAAAGGGACAGGCCCCTACGCACAAATAATCCACGTCGCAAGAATAGAAGCAGAAATGCAGAAATATCGGAGTGCCTATCAAACTATAAATTGGGATACCTAAAAGCCATTCATCGGGGCCCCCTTGACGTGATGACTGCACTCGCTCAAGAGAAAACGACAAATGCGGGAAGTCAAACAAATCCTTCGTCTTAAACTAGTAGTAACATAGTAATACCAATAATAATAATAATCTCCAATTTATTGAATTTCCTACAGAAGTGATTGAATGAACGATGCGAATACGCCGGGGCCTGCGCAGCTCCATATACACAGAACTTTGTTTTCTGC